TAAATGTTCAGCATTCGGCCAAATGGTGGCCCTGCTGGCTCACCAGAAGTTGATTACTCAGTCATGTTTTGTTGAAGGAGCTGGGCTGAAAATTGTTGGCCGAACAGTGACAGCAGCCAATTGGCTGTCAGAATGCAATAGCCTGGTGGAGGGGAAGACTCGACACTACAGCACTTTATAGGAGTGTGTTCTCATGGGATTTGGGATCCTCAAGTTTCCCACAGGAAGACCCACTGATGTTCCCCTAGGTGAGCCCGCTGGAGCTTTGGGAGCTATAGGTAAGGATTGTTTCTGTCTTGGGGCACTTTGATAGCAGGTGGTGGGGCAGCCACATATGTGGACCTTACATTATATTGCAAGGTCCGTGCAATGGAGGGATCGACTTCGGGAGGAGTGACACAGATGAGTCCTTCCACAAATGTCTCCATCGAACGTTGGGAGGATATTGTATTGGTTTAATGCAACACAGAGCGTGAATCCTAAGGGGTCCTAAGGAAGCAATGTTCAGAAGACGCATAGATGGCCTCAAGTCCCGTACACACTGGTTCGGTTTGTCACGTGTCTGCCGTCATACTACAATAATGCACAACAATTGAAATCACATTGTTCTCTGTGGTGCCGCTCAACCCCATGCAATGTGATGCAGTGCAATTTTTTGGAACGGTCCCGGTGCTTCTATTGGTTCTACACAGGGCAGTACAGTACAGTTTTTGTGCCACACAGTACACGTAGGCTCCAAAGTTTACAATGGAAGCACATGAAAAACGCATGCAATTTGTCTGTGTTTTAGTGCATAACCACAAGCCCCCATCCCCTAGCAGTATATACTATATTTCACCTTCATTGGGGAAAAATGAATATCGCATACGTATGCGCAATAATGCATTAAAAGGCATAACAATGCGACTCATAAGTATGGACACCCCTACCCCATGGGAAATCCCATGCAGCTATTCACCTGAACCTTGGAGCCAGCTGCCTGTCACAGTGCTCCCCCCCCCCCTGCCTGCCGCCTCCTATTCTGCAGCAATGGTATGTCCCTTGGTGGGTTCATGTCCTATACACAGTGTATAAAACACGATGACTCGGGGACCTTTGCTGCAGCGGAGGGGGAGAGAGGCTCCAGGGACTGGTTTTAAGAGCAAACCGACTTAGAGGATCGGCTGAGTATAACTTTTTTAATCTTGGCACCTAGAACAAAACAAACAGTTAACCCTTGCAATGTGGGGGTAGCCCCACTGCAAGGGTTAATAAAAGATTAGCCCCGAGTTCTTCTTTACACAGTGCACAGAAAACGAAATGTCGTCCGGTTAGTTTTTGGTCTATTTGGACAGATTTGGTTGTACATAGAGAAGAATTATAATGGCGGCAGATATTACCGGGATCCGTGTTTGTTTACATTGTGCCATTATCTGGAAGGTCCATAGGTCTGACAAGCCTACTCAGGACTATAAATCATCATGGATGTGTATACAAAGCGGCATTCCTTGGAAGAGGCGAGTACAGTCCGTGTTCCTGGCCTCTGGCCCAGAGTTCATTTAAGGATTCGTGGGGATGTTCCTGCTGTACATTAAGGAAGTGTGTCTGCTGGTGGCTGCCGCCTCGGGAACGCAGCGTTGCTTTTAGCTCACAAGGGGTCTGATCATCTGCAGGAATCCCCAAGAGTTTAGACACGTCTGAGTGTTCTGTGTAACTGTAAAGTGTCAGGTGACAGGAAAAAAGGCCACACATCTGCAATACAAATACACTCGCCATATTTTATTCCTATAAAGACCCATTAGGGCTACCCCACACTGCAAGGGGTAACTGTGCTCAGTAATGTCCAGGGCAGCCTTTCTCAACCAGGGTGCCTTATAGCTCTCTCAGGGGTGTCTTGAAATAAGCCTCTCTCCACCTCCGCTGCAGTGGTCTGAGGTCTGCATCATCCCATCTATACACTGTGTATAAGACGTGAGGATGCCGAGGGACATACCATCACTGTAGAGGATGAGACAGGCTGGAGGGAGTGCTGTTGCAGCTGGCCAGCTCTTGAGGATTTGGTTGTTTTTTTGTCCCTACACCAAAATGAGCACTTTACAGTTGCAGTGCAGGGCTACTGTAAGGGCTAATTGTAATAAATCCTGGAGTTCTTGTTTAATGCTTGTGTTGATAGACAAATGTTGATGTTGGTGTGGGACTCTTCGGAGAATATTCAGAGTTCATTGACGGGAGCATTTGACCTACGTCAGACCCCCCTCCCGCTGCATCAACCTTCTTCAAGCAGCTTTTGCACTCCTGTTGACTTGTATGGGAAGATGAGCAGTTCTGACGTGGACAAAGCCCATTGATACAACAGGCCACTACCTCTGGTCGCAGACAGAATGTGTTCACACAAAGTCCAGTTCTGTGTGTTTGTGAGACTTCTGAAAAAGCTTGTGGACTCTCTGTAATGATCACCCACTTTCTTCGGTTCTCAGCCACTGACCCATAACAATCGTATTCGGAGATTCAAAGCCAGAAATCCTCGCTGGTTCTGATTCCTTTGACAGCCGGCAGCTAGAATTTCTGTAGTCGCGTCCTCGGTTTTCTTCCATGACCGGTTTCCTTTAATTTAATATGTGGAGCTTCTCGACAGCTGGGTTAGGAGGAGAAAAAAAAGAAAAGTATGGCTTTGTGTAGGCTTTCCTCGGTGGCTCAGTGTCTTTGTTGGGCAGGCAGCCCTGTCATGCGTCCAACACGCTTGAGTAAGTTTAAAGTAAAACAAAAACATGATGTGGTTGTAAAACTGCTGAGAGTTTTGGAACATGAAGTCCGCGTTTCCTCATCCTCCTTGTGTGAGGAAATGTTAAGGAGAGCGGCTTTCTACACCAGTCCATTGCACAATATAGGAGACGCCGAGAACAAAGACACAATCTGTGTACACGCAGCAAGCTTCAGGAATAGGAGCAAGAGAAGGTATTGATCTGCGTTTTTATTATTTAACCCAAACCTGTCCGCTGTGATTGGTCAATAAACGTACTTGTCTTTTAACTCCAATAGCGGACTTGTACTTGGCGACCATAATGAGGCAATTCCAGCAAATTGTTGGTCAGCTGATGTTTATTGGCTTAAATTACTAATTTAAGCATAGCTGGTTATCTCTGCCGTGCAGTAATTCTCTTTTTTTTTTCTTCCTACAGCATAAAAATTGGGCTTTTAGCTCCTGATAGCAGAACTTCTGATCTCCATTACCGCAAAGCCCAAGTAGCCCCCCCCCCAATCGCCACCACTACCATACTATGTCATCAGTGCTGTAGATGTGATTCATTGGTGTCATGTCCCTACTGACTTGTATGCTCGCCCATTCACAGAAGCGTGTCTGTGTCTAGTGAACAGGCAAGCATGCGCACACAATAATGGTGTTGTAGGACATAGAAAGATAAACCTATTTGCTGCATGGCAGAGCTAACCAGCTGTGAACATCTTTAAAGCTATTCAAGTCGTGGTGGCCGGAGATGGAATACTATTCTTCACGGAGTTTGTGTGTTCTGTTTTTGTTTTTCTTTTGTTGCTCTAGCATCGCTCTTCTCAACCTATTAGCTATGGAGGATTTAAAAAAAAATTATTTTCAGGTCGATAGGAACTCCAGTAAATGACACACTTACATTGATGTCCAGTGGGACAGGTGGCCACCCTTGCAGTTGATGTCCAGTGGGGACAGGTGGCCACCCTTGCGGTTGATGTCCAGTGGGGACGGGTGCCCACCCTTGCGGTTGATGTCCAGTGGGGACGGGTGCCCACCCTTGCGGTTGATGTCCAGTGGGGACGGGTGCCCACCCTTGCGGTTGATGTCCAGTGGGGACGGGTGCCCACCCTTACATTCAGCTAAAGTAGACCGCAAAAGGTCAGAATTCAAACTGGTACCACTAAAATGAGAATTCAGTCGGTCACTACTCAATGACCCTAAAGGTGCCCATACACCTGCCGATTATCAAACGATAATCGCGGGTGATCCCGCGATCGTACGATAATGGGCAGGTGTATGGAAGGCGTGCGACCATTTCTACTGTACAGTCGCACGTCTTTTGTCTTCCGAGCATGCTTGAAAATCGTCCGATTTTCGGCAGTTTGGTGGCGTGCTCGGAAGACAAATGCCGAACGAGCCGGTGTGAGCAAGTGCACGATGCCTGTTGGCATTGGAATCATCGGAAGGCCTCTCTTCAGTGGGGAGGGCTTGTGATGATCGCAAGTACGATCTGCCTGTCCAAGATGGGCAGATCGTACGAGCTTTTAATTACCTTACAACCATGGCTCAACAAAAGTGGTGCGATGGTTGTAAGGTGTATGGCCAGCTTTAGGCAGCTTCTTGAGGAACCCTGTTTAAAAATGTTGTTGAGCCAGGTGATGCGAATTGGGGCCACTCATGACTAGAATTCCTGCTGAATTGGCCCAAATTCGAGCCATGCACGGCTACTTTCAGATACCTCCCAGGAAGACGCAGTAGCTGATGCTCGGCATCATAACACAACACATGACTCTTGGTGTTGAATGCCGGTATTGAGACGTGAAGTGTCACTAAACGCGGAGATCTCTTCTGGCAGTCTTCAAGGACCACAACTCCTGAAATGAAAAGTTTTATATTATGCAAATGAGCTTCTAATAAAACTTAGAACTATTTATTGAAAGTTTATTTTGTTTACTGGCCCATTGCGTGTGTTAGAACTCATCAGAACTGTGGCTATTGTTCCAGTCAGCGGACACATTGTTACACACGGCTGACCTCTTCACTATCTCCCAATGAAGGACATTGCAGTTGGAGTTGCTCAGTGACTGAAGAGAATGACGGCAAGAATAGTTTTGTTTGCTGCGCAATTAATGCTAAAACCGAGTATTGCAAACTTTGCTTTGATGTATTTTTAATGGCTTTCTGTTGTCTTTTAGTTTTGGTGCCCATTTATTCTTTCTGGAAGGCTTCTTTGATTAGGAGAAGACTGATGCATCAAGATGAGGACATCTTAATGGAATATATTTTCTGTTTTTACAGGACACCTGCGGTGATTCTAGCTTGAGTGAGAGCGCGTCTCCTCCAGCCAAACGCTCTTGTAATCATGCCGAGCCCGTCCGCAAGGAGAGCCCAAAAACACATGCCAGCAAGCAGCGGGAGGGATGGAGTATGTCAACCCGAAGATCCAGGTAAACATTCCACCTCCTAGACATGCAGCCGGCCTCGTGCGTTGTCACAAATGTGACTTTACCTCTGATGTGATACTTTTTTTTTTTTCTTCATTTGTCATTGTTCACCGATGTAGTGTAAATTACAGGCAGTCCCCGGGTTACGAACAATATAGGGACTGTAGGTTTGTTCTTAAGTTGAATTAGCATGTAAATTGGAACAGGTACATTTTTAACTCCAGCCCCCAATTTTTTGTTTTTGTTTTGGATAGCATATGGAATTGGACCTCGCAGGGTCCCTTCATCAGGCTTTAGCATTGACGATGCTAAAGCCTGATGAAGGGACCCTGCGCGGTCCCGAAAGCGCTAGTTTGGTCATATGACAAAAAACTTCAATAAATGAAGCTTTTGCCATCTTAAAAGGATTGGTGTGCTGGTGACATTTCTACATTTTTGCTGACATTCGCGGCGCCATCCGCGGTCCCTGCGAGCACCCCCCACTACAAGGGACATATCGGTAAGGAGTGCGACAAGGATAGTACTTATTGCCTGTTCAGAAGATTTCACCGCACTTTCTGTCTGTCCCTGTCACAATTGGATTTTGAACATTTTTTGGGTTGTCGTGGAAACAAAAATTGGTGGTGAAGCTTCAGTGGAGACACCTTTTTCCTTTAATAACTCTTACAGAGTGAATTTCCCTTCCTAGGGGTAGATTTCCTCTCACTTCCTGTTGTCTCAAGGACAGGACGTGAGATTAAGGGCCCGGTTCACACTTGGGCGTTTTGTAGCGCGTTCCTACGCTCTGCAAAACGCTCAAACACCGAAATCCCATTATTTCCTATGGGTATGGTTCACACCCGGGCGTATTACAGGCCGTATGAACGTGCTACAAAACGCCCTACGCCCAAAGAAGTACAGGAGCTTCTTTGGGGCGTTTTTGTCGCGCGTATCCATTGGGATACAGCCAGGTAGCCCTCAGAAACGCGCGTTTGTTGCGCGGTTTTTAACCACAAATCACGGTAAAAATGCGCGACACGAAACACGCGACAAACGCGCATATTCGATATGCCTAGGTGTGAACCCAGCCTAAATCTTCCTAATGAGGATACAGACCGCAGTAAAAACCCTGCAGTGACCCGGAAGAAGAGGCGGGCTCCCCTCGTCTGTGTGTCTTGCAAGAGCCAACTTCCTGTAATGTACATACAGTACTACGAACCAGACCCAAAAAGGCGGCACTCCTCGTTAGCACGAGCGCGGTAGTATTACGACGACTGAAATTCTGCGTTGTACACTTTGGCTGCAGCCTGGGACCCCATTGCTGTACAGTAGTAGCCTCCATTTGTAAGTAGGGGTCGTATGTAAGTCGGATGTTTGTAACTCCGGGACTGCCGGTATACTGATCAAAAAGAAAGTTTGTTTTTATGCTTTTTTGTATTTGAATAGTTATACAGTAAGAGGCGTCAGCAACAGCAACCTCATCATGTCTCTTTGTACATGTTTTTCTGTTTTCTTTCACTTTTATTAACATTTAGGTTAAAGAGCCTGTCTTTAAACCAAGTTAAAGAAATTCTGAATGGGGTCTCGTCTATAGTGACCTATTGGGTTCCTCAAGAAAATACATCTTGAAAGTCTGGTTTCTAGGTTCACACTTGTTCTTCTCATTACTCCAGATTTTATATCATAATTAAGTGGAATGGGCCCTCTAGTGGTAAATTTTCAGAATCGGAACTCTTCTTTGAAACTGAAACAATGAAGATGAATTGTTCCACAGCGCCTCAAATATCATGAGGGGATGTGTAATTTACTATTAGGGTATGGAGGGTGTTGGAAACCTCTGGGCCCCGTTTACACTTGTGTTGTGGTACATGCATATTATCACAATGAGTGGTAATACATGTTCCATGCATTGCGTTGCTATTTATTTTCAGTGGCACCCCAATGCACGAACTGTGTTGGCAGCGTGCCACAATTCAAGGTCCAAAAAAAAAAAGATTGTGTTTGATTTTCCGGCACATCGGCGTACATTGGCAGCCCATTTATTTCAATTGACTGCCCTGACGCAGTGCATGTTAACACTCCGCAGAATTGTAAATGGACCCTCAAGGTTCAGTTTTTAGGTATAAAAGTTTCAAAGCCCTTTGGTGAGGGGCAGGCAGCCAATGCACTCCAGCTGTGGTGAAACTACAAATTCCATCATGCATCTGCAAATATTTCATATGGCTTGGAGACTTGCAAAGCCTCTTGGGGGTTCCATGGGAGTCTCACCACAGCTGGAGGGCCAGTATGTTTGTATGTATACAGTATATATGCGTGTGTGTATGTATATATAAAATATATTTACACTTTGCTGTACTACACCAGTCTTGCCCACACTGTCCTTTTTGTTGCTAATCTTGTGGTCTTGACGCCTGTCTGCTTCCGTTGGAACACACAGTGCTTCCTCTTCCTGTTTCTTACATACTTGACTGATGTGAGAAAAAAAAAGGGCCAGAAAAGCCATTCAAACCTACCTCAGGAACTGTCAGTGACACTAAACTCGGAAGTTAAACCTTAAAAATAAATTCAAGTACCTTAACAAAAATGTATCTTATTTGTGTATCACTCGGCTGCAGGTCCTCAAATCATCTCTGAATTGGTGCCGACACTGTCCTTCCTTCTGGAGGGGGGCTACTATTCCCCATGGTCCCTGTGTGTGTTGTAAAGTACTCAATGCTCCAAGCCCCCCCCCCGTGTTGTATTACAATCTCCGTACAAATTAGTAAACTAAACATGAGATTGTAGTCCATCACGGGAGCGAGCTTGGAGCGGTGACTACTTTACAACACACACAGGGACCATGGAGAACAAAAGTAGCCCCCCTCCAGATATCGGTACTCATACTCTATACCAGGGGTGCCCACAATTTTTTGTGTTAAGATCTACTTTTCAAAAGACGAGCCCAATGAGATCTACCAACAAAAAAAACCTCCCCTGGCGCTCTCTCCCCATGGCACTCTCTCCCCCTGGCGCTCTCTCCCCCTGGCGCTCTCTCCCCCTGGCGCTCTCTCCCCCTGGCGCTCTCTCCCCCTGGGTTCACCTTGCTGTATTTTGCAAACAGCGCAGTGCCACAGGCTGTGTAAACTGGTTTTCTTTGATGTAATACATAGCACTTCAGCCACCAGCAGAAAGGTGTCAGGAAGCTTGGCCACCCTTCATTCCCCTTATTCCAACCTTTTTTCCCGAGATCCGCCACCTCTGACATGTTTCACCCAATCCTGGGCTTAGTCACAGAGCTATCTGCAGGTCATTGGAACACTCACTGAAGTGCTGTAATTTGGATTCCATTCTGGGATGCAATGGGATTTCACCTCCTTTTCTGTTCCGTTTGACACCCAAGAGATATGAGGCATAGAGAAATATCATTCTCTCCATCGTGGTCTCTTGCCTTCTCTCGCATGCCCTCGCTCTCTGTATATATAATTCCAGCTGTGTACTTGGTGCTTTACCCGGAGTTCTACAAGTTTGCAACCAGGCACCATTTTATCTTCCACTCATACCTGGAATGGAATCGGCTCATTTCCAATATAAAGCGTATTCAAAGCCAAAATCTTTTTAGTTGTGGATAATATGTTCTCTTTTTGTCCTGGTTATAATTACTACCGGGACAGTCATTGATTGCAGGTTCCAAAATTTTACAGTTGTCCAAGAAACAGGAGCAAGAGATGAAATCTTCCAGTGGGGAGAAGTGTCAGATCTGTACAAAACGTTTGTCATTAGATATTCCCATTGACGTTTGCACAATGATTTCTATATGAATGTATTATTTATGACGTGTTTGTTCCATTTGTTTCAGGTTATTGTCTCAGACTGGTGCTACTTTACAAAACAGCCACACGGGTTTAGGTAAGTGTTCCAATTCTTATTCATTTTTGGTCTTTAAGCTCCATTAAAAGGCAACTGCTGACATCTATTATAATGCATCTGTCTGTTCTCATACCTAAAACCCTTTCTCTAGGGAAATGAAAAATCTCCTTGCAGTGCTGGGGTTAACTGGTTGTTTTTGTCTAGGGATTTAGTGTACAGGTCTGTTACCTGATCTTGGGGGGAGCGTCCTCCCGTCACCCAAAGCTCAGTATAGCTCGCGGTATACTGAGACGCCGCAGCCGGAACGGATCCCGACAATTCTGTCTGGATCCGCCCAGCTACGTGAGTGACAGCTGGCTCTGCCTTGCGAGAGGCAGAGCCAGCTGTACCCGCCCCCTCCCCGTCCGTTCCACCAGTCAGCGCTGGAGGATCGGACACGGGAGGGGGGGATCCCTGCAGGGAGCTGTGAGCGACAGTCCCGGCTCTCTGCAGGGACAGGATCGAGAAGTGAGCAACTCTATGTGTTCGCTCCCCGATCTACTGAGCCGACCTGTGACAGTTTTTGTCACAGGTCGGCTCAGATTATGAGGCTGAGGAAAATTATTCACCTCATAATTCTCTTAAGTTGAAAAGGAGACTTATTAATTCCTTACGGACCCCCTCTCCGTAGCTCCCATGTGTTTTCCAAAGGCTTTGCTGACTGCAGTAGCTAATGGTTTCACGCCTCTTTGGGCCAGACAGGCTTGTGGAAGTTTTGGCCCCTCCAGTGCCCAGCTCTGTTTGAACACATTTGAGCAGAGTGACCCTTTTAAAGTTATAATTTTTTAATTGATAAAAAAATAATAAATTTTAGCCAAGATCCAAGGCGTCTCTCTCTACTATGGGCACCTGAAAAGTTGGGCTATGTGGTATGCCCTGTTTTATGTAGGGGGCAGCCCAATCTGCACACCGCCATTATGAATACAGTAGGAGGTTGGATGCACCCTGGGCAGATTAAGGGTCCTCGGCTAATTGGTCATCTCTGCTGCATTGCCTGAATCTTTCGTTTTGATCAAAGCTTTGTAGGTGGGCTTTGTAGCTGACCTGGCTCTGATTGTAGCTTGGAATAAATTTGCATTGCTAACAGTCTGGAACAAAAGCTGTAAAGTTTGTTGATTAGAGTTGTTTTTTTTTTTTTTCTTTCTTAAATTAGCCCTTAAAAGTCACCCCCGCCGTGTTGAAAAAGACGGAAATGTGGACCGCCCCTGCATCAACGGGGACCGGGTGGTCAGGAGGAGCTGCAGGTCCAAAAGTAACAGATTTGAAAGTTTGAACCAGAGCTTGCTCTTTGATCAGCTGGTGAACAGGTGAGTGTGAGCGCCCTCTAGTGGTCAAATGCAAAGATTTCATACTTCCTGTAGCGGTTTGTTCACAATCTAGCACGCTATTGCACAGCTCACCTAGTGTGCGGTACCGTGCTCTAAGTACATTGCATTGCCATTCATTTGAATGGCACCCCAACGCACCTACATTGCGTTGTGGTGCAAAAATAGCGCAAGCACTATTTTTTTCTTTTCCATTGCAGTGCGACACACGGTTTTCTAGTGCCTTGCATTGTGCTCTAACGCGCGTTCTCTGGGAGGTGCAGTGGTGGTCTATTCAAATGAATGACAACAAATCTAGCACACATTACCGCACACCAGGCCATAATGTGCTCACAGACCTCTGCAACTATATGCAAGTAGCATCTCACTTCATGGCTTTCAGCTTTTATTCAATTTCCACATCACTTGTACATTCCTAAATCGGGGCTGAGAACTGCTATATAAAATGTCAGTACATGTGGTAAAATGTTTGTTCAGTTTTTCAATAGTACAGTAGAGGGTAATCTATATCAAAAACGGTTTGATTTGAGTAATACTGCATGCAATTCAGTCACCAATTGACTGACCATTAACTGTGTGGTGCCTTTTCTCGAACAAAGGTTTTAAAGATAAACAGGGATATTGGTAACCAAGGAGGCATGGGAAAGGTTGGGGGTGGGCTATAAAGGTGAGGGTGCAGGGGGCTAGGAAAGGGTATAAAACTGGGTGTTTATAGGGGTGGCAGATATGGACTGCTAAGGATAAAAATCATATCCATAGGAAAGTTAAAGAACCAAACATGGGAGTCCCTTGTAATAGGTTTTCACTGCTCCATCCAAATCCAAGCTCTGCCACTCAGGCTCACCGCAAGTGCCAGCAAGGGACTGGTCCGCAATCAAATCAATGCAAAAGTAGTCCCACACTAATAAAGTTAATGCCATAACCGACGCGGAACAATGGTCACTCTTACAGAAGGATTAACTAGTAAGTTCTATAAGATTGGGCCCCCTGGATACATCTAGTATATGAAAATACTGTCACAAACCCATAAGATACTCCCCCTGCGAGGATAATGGAGTGGCAAGGTAACCTCCAACATAGCATTATCCCTGTCAATATTCTTTGACCCCCTACCTCTGGCACCTTAGTGGTGGAGCGAGTACCATCAATCCAAAAATGGCCACAGACCGCTTATCTTTTTAAAATAAATGTAATACTCTTTTTTATTTTAATCGTACAATACATAATAAACACTTTTACATCCATAAATACATTAAATTAAAACAACCAATACATAAAATACAAATACAATAAACAAAAAAATAATAATTCTCATCATACCATACTACCTAAAAACACATTACTCCTCAAAATACCAGTAGCAGATAAGAGACGTTATAGACAAACACCATTTCTATACTCAAACCACTTATCCCACATCTTACCATATTTATCCATGTTACCTCTATGTTTAAAAATAATTCCTTCAAATCCAACCACTTTATCTAGTTCTGTCTTCCATTCCTCCACTGAGGGAGGCGTTGCTGAAATCCACCTAAAGGCGATACTACGCCGAGCCACAAACAATGCTCTCGTTATAGCCACCTTCATATAGTAGTCCACCTTCACAGATCCAAAAATACCCAAAATACATATCGTTGGATTGTTAGAAATATGAACTCCAAAGGCTATATTTATTATCTCCACTATTTCCTGGCAATATTGTTTCCATTTCGGGCATCGCCACAGCAAATTTATCAATGAACCCGGTTCAACCCCACATTTTGGGCATTTAGTCTTCCCTGAGTCCTATATAAGGAATTCAGGGGTCCGGTTATGTTCCATGTACAATATAGAGCTGTGTTAGTTTATGCAATGCAGACGGTGAAACTAATTGGATTGAGAGCAGCGCCTCCCTCCAAAGGGTATCATCCATTGGCCCCACATCTAGTTCCCAACCCACTTTACATTTCATAGGAGAATTATTTAAGACTCCAGGCAATAACTTTGAATACATTTGTGAAATTAACCCTGTTGCCAAAATTGCATTAACGAGTTTATAACCGCATTTCCATCAATGCAAACCTCACGAACGCCTGGATGTACCCTAAGCGCATGCCTCAGTTGTAGATATTTATAGAATTGAACATTAGGTATTAAATAACTTGCTTGTACTTGTCATTTTCATGAGAACCATCAGGGTTGCAGAGGTTGCAGCTGGGGCCTGGCTCTGGTGCTCCACCACTGTCCTGAAATCATTAGTCTGTATTGTTTTAGAAAAACTGTCACATGACAAAAAAAATTATCAGTACTTGTATCTTGTAAGTACTTGGGCAAGTATAAGTACTTGTACTTGCAAAACTAGTATCTGTGCATCCCTTTTATATTTATAAAAACAAAATCGTACATTAAGGGCTTGTTCACACCAAATGCGGAGAAGATCCGGTCAGGTTTCTGCACACGCACGATGCCTTTTTGACGCGTTTTTGATGCATGTTTTTTTTTGTTTTGTTCAGGAAGATAGCAATATTATGAGGTACTTTCCATTGTGTTACTGAGGGAATACATATTGCTGAGGGAATACATATGGCATATAATATAATACATGTTGCTGAGGGAATACATATTGCTGAGGGAATACATATGGCATATAATATAATACATGTTGCTGAGGGAATACATGTTGCTGAGGGAATACATATGGCATATAATATCACAGAGTTGAACCATACTTGTGAATCTCTCTGGGTCACAAAACTGGTCCACCATTTTTCCTTTGCTCTCCAGATCACAACGTCACCTTTTCCAAAGACAGGAAGTGACCAAGGAAGATTAGGTCATGACAGATGACCATAGAGGTTTTTTTTTCTTTATGGTTATTTTTTTCCATTGAATTGCATTGGGTTGCGTTTTTGATGTGTTCCAGACCAGATCCAGAGCAGGTAAAATAGGGCCTGCTGCAGTTTTGTTCACCTGTTCTGGGTCTGCATGCTGCAATGTGAACTGGAGTTCAAAATACCATAGGAATACAATGGACGCAGTTTTGATCCGGTCTGCACCTGCTCTGGATCTGCTCCGCGCTTGGTGTGAACTAGCCCTAAAACAGAGATGTACAAATCACAGAAGCTCTGTGTGCTCCTTACAAATGGCAGCTGCCTCCTAACTTTTACATTTTTCTCTAGTCTGGTCCTGGAAAAGTATCTGTACTTTTACTTGTACCGAGTACAGTACTTGGTATCGGTGCATCCCTTGTGAAAACTGTCATTGAATCGAGATCTCAGGCATGGGATTATGTTGGAATTAATGCTGACTCTAGTAGTGGGAGAAGAGTAGGGGTGATGGTTTAAGTAAAACCGCACTTCTCTTTTAATAGCTGGTTTTGGTTCCTATCGTGTATTGTAATGGCATTGAAAGCAAAATATAAATCATGAAATATATGTATATGGTCATATATTAAGTTTTCCATACCTTCTACAGTCTTCCACTAGCCCATCTTACCCTGTGGAACCCCATCTTTAGAAGATAGTTTCCTTCATAGAATACTTTTTAATGTCCTATTATACACACTGAGGGGAAATTTATCAAAACTGGAGCAGATTTGCACTGCAACCAATCGGCTTCTCTCTCTCATTTTCAAATCTTACCTGAGCAAACTGATGAGCGATGCTGATTGGTTGTCATGCTCCAGATTCTGTTTGCGCCAGTTTTGATAAATTCCCTTCAATGTCTTTTTCTTAGTGGTACTTCTGTTCATGAAACACATCTATCTTCAGCATCGGTGTAACATCCCTAACAGTGCTTGTTCTGGAGGCAGGGACACTTTTGCTTGTTACACTTTGAGAGCAGACCTGTAGACCACCATCTTCTCCGATGGAAATAATAAAAACACCCCAATATGTATATCAGCATCTGCAGGTTCCTTCTGGTTGCTGATCCCCAAACATGGTTGCATCGACTGATCACGGTTGCTCTGTCAAAGGGCATGATCTGAGTTTAGGGAGAGTTACTGATTTGGTTGGCTTTGCCTGTCTTTTATTTGGCAGAGAGCACATGACCCGCTGCTGCAGGAGGGTTTGGGGTCCAGCAACTTTAGGCACCCTGAAGCTGCTTAGAGGGAAGTATTAAAGTGGTATTCTGTTCATATATCATAGGATGTAGCGCTTAATTACATGCATAGACCTCATTAAATTGTAGAGCTGGCACCATACTTTAAAATCTTTTCTGTCTACTCTGACTCCGATTGTTGTGGTAGTGACTTATCCCTTGTTGATACCTCTATGCCTGACCTGTATAAGCAGATTCAATCACTGAGGACATTCATTGTCCGATAGCTGAACTCGCCAATACCGGTTCATCCTCTAGTAGGGTTGTTTTATTCTGTACATCAGACAACAGGATACAGCAGATGGATGGTTTTCAGTATTATGCGGTCAAAAGATGCCTTTCCTAGCGTACTATGCAGAATACATGTGTCCTTGTTACATGTGGCCTGTTAGCTGTGGCCATGACACAGGAAGTACTGACCAACAAGAAGGGTGGAGCATACATACAGAGGAAATACATCACAAAGGGAACACAGAACATGCTTGATACCAAGAAAGGCCACTAGATGGCAGCATATAACTAACATATAAAGCGTCCATAGGAAATGGTACAAAGAAAACAATCTATATACATTCTATCTACTAACAATGCTTCTATGTCCCATTGGGGCGGCACACTGTCACTTCATCTTTCTTGCACATTGATAGAGATTTACATTGTTCTACATCGCAACATGAGCTTAGTAGATTGTAAAGTTTTGTGTGGCCAGTTTATTTGCCTTTTGGAAGGGGTCATTTTTGGTTAGTATAGGTTCTTACTAGAACAGCTTTAGGTCTGCTTTAACATGGCTTGAGTATTTTTTTGGCACACCGAATGCAAATAGAAATGTTTTAACAATGGAGAACCTTGATGATGAACATAAAAGTATTTGTCATGCAGTTTGTCCAGTCCATGGCTGCTGGTATCCTACTATCCACATGGCCTGTATGACAGCTCCCAGCTCCTTGGTGGGTTTTATTTGGTTCATCACACTGAGTATTACTATTGGTTTGTAGCACTGCAGAGGCCGTCCTCCAAGAAATGGACAACATCAACATCCGGAGGGGCAGTAAATCCAAAGAGGTGGAGCGGCTGCGTATGTGGACAGACACGGAATTTGTGAGTCTTCCCTATATGTGAAAGTTTGGGCTAGATTTAACTAAATATGCAGCACGCCTTAGGCCTGGTGTGGAAATGTGCAGTATCCTTTAGGCCTCATGTGGGTGGTGAGAAGGGGGGAGTGGGGGGAGTGTGGGGGGTGTCGCAAGTATTTTTAGGTCATGTTGGAAAGGGAGTCACACGTAGGTCTCCAATGGGGGGTGCTGGAGCCCTGAGGTTAGTCATACATGTATTTCTTTATATTTCAGCCTGCGGGATGAATGAGGGGGAAAAAAGACCCTCCAATCCATGCTAAATAACGTGGATGGAGGAAATGTCCCGCTGTCGGCTATTGTATTTCAGTGGCTCAGGGGGGCAGCTGCTTGAATATGTTATCTGTGATTGGCTTCAGACAATTTTCCTCTCTGCTCCTTTAGTATTGTCCAATGAAGTTTGTTGAGCCAGGTGGGCCATAAGGGCAACCCATGGCTCGAATTGCAGCTGATTTACAGGGATTGGTTGAAATTTGAGCCCCGTGAGGTGAGCTTGTCCATACATGGCTCAAAGTCTTAAAGTGACATTAAGGCCTGGTTCACACCTGAACGTTTTGTAGCGCGTTCTACGCTCGACGAACGCTCTACAAAACGCTCAAACATCTAAATCCCATTGTATTCAATGGGTCTGGTTCACACCTTGCCGTATTTCCGCCCGTCCGAACGCGATACGAAACGGCCTACGCCCAAAGAAGTACATGTACTACTTTGGTGCGTTTTGGTCTCGCGTTTCCATTGGGATACAGCCAAGTAGCCCACGGAAACGCACGTTTGTCATGCGTTTTTTTACCGCGAATCGCGGTAAAAACGCGTGACGCGAACCGCGCGACAAACGCACATATTCAATACGTCTAGGTGTGAACCCAGCCTTAAGGATAAATGTTTTTCCCTCCCCCCCATGTTAATGTCAGCACTTACCTTAAATGATGCCTCTTAATCCGATCCGCCTCTTCTTTCCCCATGTTTTCATCTGTCCCTCCAGCGGTGCGGCGGTTCTCCGATCCAGCGCTGACTCCCTGCGAGCAGGCACTTCCGATCCAGCTGTGTCTGCAGGCGGGTGCACGCGTCCATAGACTTAACTTGCATCTCTGCTCGTCTCCCGGCCGAGAGTCTGAACTGCGCATGCGGCCGCACGAACAGTTCCGGACTCTCGCCGCGGGAGCGCGCAGCGATAATGCTGTTTAAGCATTTAAAAAAAAAAACTTTTTGCCTATATCTACTGCTTGTTAGCAGTAGATATAGGCAACAAAACGGAAGGCTTTAGAACCCCTTTAAGCTGGCACAGCTCGGCAATCTTAAAAAAAAAAATCAAAGGCGGGTAGAGGACGGTCAGCCGGACAGTGACTGCAGCCACGGTTCGGGTATTCATGCAACCATGCTCCCGTGGCTGCTTGAATACAGTAGCCGGCAGGGGAGATTCCACCACCCTCGCTGTTTAGCATGAATGGGGGAATTGAGCAGTTTTCTGTTCAGCCCACAACAGTGTACGGCTAGCTTTAGGCATCATGTGGGTAGTGCAAAACTTCTTAGCTATTCCAGGTAAAATGTTTGAACTGACCTTCATGTACATGTTGTTTGGGCACCTCTAGCATTTTAGATGGTAAAATAGATCCTTAAAGAACTGTTCTAGGAAGGTGATGTCCAATGTGATTATTTGATACGTCTGAGTGAGTGGAGGACATTTTAAACTAGCAATGCAGTAAACGCGACGCAAAAAAAAATCCAGTTAGTGGAAAAGTAAAGCTGCTTTTTTTTCTTGCTTGCTTTCCATCACTTGAAGTGATTTAATTTTGAGAATTCATTATATGTAGGAGAACATGGACATGTATTCCCGCGTTAAGAGGAGGAGGAAAAGCCTGCGTAGAAGCAGTTATCCAATCAAAACCCGGCATGAGGAATCCTCTGAAGGAGAAGAGGAGGAAGAAGAGGAGGAAGAGGTTTCAGAGGGTGAGTTTTATATGCTGCTTGAGAAGTCTTTGCCATTTTTCAATGTGATCTTCACCATCATCTTAATCTTAAGGTGACACAAAACTCAGGAGTTCAATGTTAAAAATAAATTCAAATTGCTTAACAAAAATGCATCTTATTTGTGTATCACTCGGCTGCAGGTCCTCAAATCATCTCTGAATTGGTGCTGACACTGTCCTTCCTTCTGGAGGGGGGCTACTTTTGTTCCCCATGGTCCCTGTGTGTGTTATAAAGTAGTCACCGCTCCAAGATCACTCCCGCGATAGACTACAATCTCATGTTCAGTTTACTCATTAAGGCCCTGACACACTGTAAGCGAAGCGGCGCACAGGAGAGCGGCGACTCGCGGCCCTTCGGGTGCAGTGTGTCTTGTGAGTTCCGATCCCCTGCTCTGCCCAGCGACAGCGTGCGTTGCACAGCGTCGTGAGATGAAAAAGTTCATCTCCAGCGAATCACAGTGCGCGATGCAATGTAGGAGTTGACATGGGGCTGGAAAGCAGGAGGTCTTGGGATGAGCGGAGCCGACGGTTATTGTGATATTTTGATACCAGGTTTGAGATATATCCGGGGGCAGAGTTGTGGATGGCTTTGTAACTGATAATATTTTGAATTTTATCCTTTGGGCTTTTGGAAGCCGGTGGAGGGATTGACAGAGGGGGGTTGCAGACACTGAGCGGTTGGTTAGGTGGATGAGTCTAGCAGCTGCACTCATGATAGACTGAAGGGGGAGGAGTCAGTGTAGTGGAAGGCCAATGAGGGAGTTGCAATAGTCAAGCCGAGAGATAAGGGAGTGGATGAGTAGTTTTGCGGTTTCTTTGGTTAGGAAGGGGAGTACTTTGGAGATGTTACGAAGGTGAAGGCGGCAGGATTTGGATAGTAATTGGATGTGGGGAAGAAAGGTGAGGTCCGAGTCAAGGATGACACCTTAGCATGGGGGGAGGGATGGATAGTTGTGTTATCAATCTCAAGGGAAAAGTTGGGGGAAGGTGCACGGGCAGGAGGAAATATCATGAGCTGAGTTTTTGAAAGATTGAGTTTTAAGAAGTGTTGTGACATCCAGGCGGATATGTCAGTAGATTAGTGACACGCAAGGACACTGAGGGGGAGAGTTGTGGAGTGGAAAGATATATTTGAGTGTCATCGGCATAGAGATGGTATTGGAAGTGGGGTTATTAGTTGAACAAGGGAGGAGGTGTAGATAGAGAAGAGAAGCGGTCCACGGACTAATTGTAGTGATGCACCGATCCCATTTTTTTTCTAGTACGAGTGTCAATACTTTACCTCAAGTACTCTCCGATACCTAGTACCGATACCTTTTTTTTTTTGTGACAGTTTTTCTAAAACAATTCAGACTAAGGCCCCGTTCACACTGAGCGATTTATTGCGCGGTAATTCCCGCGATATCGCGGCTATTTACCGCGCGATATCGCTCTCCAATGCATGGCAATGGGGCAAAGGGTCGTGCGTCGCTACAGCAGGACCCCTTATGGAGTGGATTTTTCCGCGATTCAATGCTTTTCAATGCAAGCATTTGCGCGATATCGCGCAAAATGCAAATCGCGCGACAAACGCGCTATTTGCGAATCGCCAAGTGTGAATGGGGCCTAATGATTTTAGGACAGTGGTGGAGCGCCAGTGCCCGGTCACATCTGCGACCCTGGTAGTTCTGCCACTGACTCCATGCTGTAGAGGGACTACAAATCTCAGCAATAGGGTATACAGCAGTGGAGAATACCACCAGATATAGAGGAGTACAAATCCCACCAATACATTGTACAGTGATGCATATTTTGTGCTGCTGCTCTGCTCCTGGGTGCCGGCCTGATGGCTCAGGGAAAGGTGCAGAGGTCTCAGGAGGGGTGCAGAGGGACAGAGTGCCTGACTTTTCAGAGGGGGTGACATCAAAATGACTGTCGGTGGTCCTTCAGGACTGTTAGAAGCAGACCCGGCTCTGGCTTACAATGCAGTCGGAGATATGAACAATAATAATAATGACAGTTTGTGCTGACAGTAGCCACAAACTGCCGCACAATGGTTCGTGCCGCTGTCACCGGCGTCCCCATCAGGACCAGAAGATCCCACCGATTGACAAAGTTGGAAAACAGACAGCTAGTGAAACTGAAACCCTCCCTCCCTGGCATCTTACCGCACAGTAAGTGTGCTCCTTAGGGGTCCGGAGGGTATGGCAGGCGGCTGCGGTGGTCAGAGGGAGGTGTGGGTGCGGGTGCTGTCTCTGCAGGCGGTTGGCTATGGGAGCTGTGAGCTCCCCACAAGGCTACCATGAAGTCCTCGGGCAAGACCTCACGGCAGCCAAATCCATAAAAAAAATGTAAAGTGCCAATATCCGCGTTTAGTATCGGGGCATTTTCACTAGGGATGTACCGATATATCGGCCCAAAATGGCACTTTTGGCTAAATGCTGAAAGTGCCATTTTCCTGCCGATCGGCGCATACCTGTTTTCTTTCCTCCCCGCTGGGCGCTGCTCTGTGTCCCAGCGGGGAGGAGAGAAACTGACTCCGAGCGCTGTGAACGGCCGGCGTCCTCCTCCCACACCGCTCAGCCTCCTATCGCAGTCCGGCAGAGCGGTGTGTGGGCGGAGACAGGCCGCACTGTCAGAGGTTGACCTCTCCTCCCTGCTCCGCTGGCCCAGCCTCCTGTGACAGCCTGTTAGGGAGGAGAGCGGTACAAGCAGTCGGTGATCAGTGATTGCTGAGTGTAGATAATTGAGGGACATGGAATGGTTATTGTATCCTCAATTATGAATGAATGGGAGGGATCTACATCACCTCCTGTTCATTCATGATTGTGGTTATAGTAAACATACTATATTCTCATGTTATGAATGAACAGGAACACTCGTAGAGGATTCCTGTTCATTTATAACAAGGTATACAGAAAAAGAGATTGAGGACTTCGTGTCCTCAATCTCTTTTTCTATTTTAAAAGGGAAATATCCCCGAAGCCCCTAAAAGTAAAGTAAAAAATAAAAATATTTCATAAAAAATGAATTAATAAATAAAAATAAATATAAAACAATGTAAAAGTTTATAAAAATAAATAAAAGAAAAAATTAAAATAAAATAAAATTTCGGTTTCGTCCTGACAATTTTTTTTTATTTCGGTGCACCTCTAATTTTTACGAGTACTCGTGAATTGCCCTGTATCGACACCGCTAGTGGTATTGGTATCCGTGCAGCCCTACTATTTTGTATTGAGATTGTACTCCATCACGGGACTACAGAACACACAGGGACCATGGGGAACAAAAGTAGCCCCCCCCTCCAGAAGTAAGGACAGTGTCAGCACCAATTCAGAGATTTAAGCATCTACAGCCGAGAGATACACAAATAAGATACATTGTTGCTAATAATAAATGTTTAGGATTATTTTAATCTTGGGATGACGTTTTTAGTTATTCCCTATTAGGAAGCATCTTTTGTTCTCAGTGGCTGCATTATGGATTTTCTTGGTCCCCATAGTAATTCCTCCAGAAGAAAATGTTGACAAGGCTCTCCAGAGATGGGAACAGGAAGCTTGGCTCACTCTGAGGTTGAGGGAAGTTCTTCTGCCAGGGCCAAACATCAGAATTCATACTTTTGTTGTGGTCACACTTTGTTCCTCACCACCCAAAGATGAGTTCACTTATATTGGTTGTATGTCCTAATTTCGTGTACTCCCCTTGTGTTTTTGCAGAATCCCAAGAAGGCGAAGACTGTGATGAAGAAGTTGAGGTAGAGGGTATGGAGAACGATCGACCATACAACCTCAGGCAGAGGAAAACGGTGGATAGGTATCAAGCACCTCCTATTGGTAGGTATTGCATTTAGTGTTTTGAGAAATCTAATTGATTGGAGATACTGAGGTTACATTAAAAGGACATGTTAGGTGAAGCCTGCGTGACTGAAGGAGTCCACTGACCAACTTTATCTGCCTTTTACTTGTGAACATGATCAAATCATAATGAATGATTGTAGAATTTGAGGTTTATAATGGATGAGTTATATTTGTTGTACAAATATTTTTATTGAAAAGGAACAGAAGTAAATAACATCCAAAGAAAGGACATATAGGTTTGTATGGCAAAACATCATAACAGTTCTAAAGCAAAATAGTGACCCATGATAGGTCGTCCACAGGGTAGCAAGTAGAAAATGAAAAAAAGAGATATTAGCATAAAATCTGTGAACAGTCAAATTATCTCAAGACCTGAAGAAGTGTCACCATGGATGAGTTCTATTTGGATGAGTTAGCATTTCAAGCGTCTGTTACAGATTTTTTTTTGTTCTACCTTCATGATTTGGTACCCCGCTGTTTTTTAAAAAGATCTTTCCAAGCTTGTTCTTCACAGGATGTTCATTCTTTGCAGTCATTACATTAACACATGCAGGTGCCAACATCGTTCATATATTTAGACTCGTTCATCTTATGTCCATGGTTTCTTTTAGTAGCATTTTTTTAATTCTTGGCAGCATCTAATTAAGCAGCGAAGATTCTTTTATTCACCAGCCAGTAAGAAAAATTATTTTGGAGGGAAATAAATTGTTTAGATGCCAACCATCTGTTAAATGTTGTCATCTAGTTAATGTAGTTGAAACCTAAATGAATAAACACATATGAGGGCACAGCAGGTAATCCAATATACCTGTATATGGAAAAACAACTGTCGGGGTGTCAATTATGAATGTGATGTTGTGTAGGTTATTTTTTTTTTCTATTTTGTGTTGGTGTTTTTTATAATCCATTAACATGCTTTTTTTATTTAGAGCCAGCACATCAAAAAAAGCGACAAAGCACTTTGTTTGATACGCACAGATCTCCTGCAAGAAGAAGCCATATTCGGTACGTGCACAGTTTGCACGCCATTGTTGGTGATATCACTTTTATTCCATATCCAGAGTGCTGTATTGTTTTAAATACTTAGAGAAACCTTATATAGCCTTAAAAAGGATCTCCGAGGAGGAGGTTTACTGCCTATGGTGGTATACAGGCCTCAGTTTATTATCTTAAGGTGACAAACCATGGAAAGTCCAGACACAGCTCTGATGTCAACAGTGCACAGAGCGGACTTGCTGTTTTAAGGGCTGCATGCATGAATGGCTTTATAGTGACACTAAACTCAGGAGTTAAATCTTACAAATTCAGGTACCTCAACTATTCACAAAAATGTCTTATTTGTGTATCACTCGGCTGTAGATCCTCAAATCATCTCTGAATTGGTGCTTACACTGTCCTTCCTTTTTGAGGATGGCTACTTTTGTTCCCCATGGCCCCTGTGTGTGCTGTAAAGTAGTCACCGCTCCAAGCTCACTCCCGTTATGGACTACAATCTCACGTTTAGTTTACTCATTTGGTGAGTGATTTTCACTCATCCTCATAGTTCGAGCCGACGTGCGACAATGAAACTGCCACACATCGGCTCAATAGATCGGGAAGTGAGTGAACACATACCGTTGCTCGCTCACTTCTCGATCATGTCCCTGCAGAGAGCTGTGACTCACTCACGGCTCCCTGCAGGGATTCCCCCCTCCCCGATCCTCCAACGCTGACTGGCGGAACGGACAGGGGAGGGGGCGGGCACAGCTGGCTCTGCCTTCGGATATGTAGAGCCAGCTGTCACTCACACAGCTAGGTGGATTTTGACAGAAATGTCGGGATCCGTCCCGGCTGCGTCTCAGTATACCGCGAGGTGTATCTCGCGATATACTGAGGTTTGGTTCACGGGAGGACGCAAGTTTATGTCCTCCCGTGACCCTTAGGAGAACTATGGAGAAAAGCACTGACCCCATAGTTCTCCTTTAAGGTACTTGAATGTATTTTTAAGATTTAACTCCTGATTTTGGTGTTTAATCATTTTTTTAGCCCTTAGCTGGGCTAAGAAATCACACAGCTGTTGGTTCGCCTATGAAAGAGATCCTGTGAAGCTAAATCTGTAATCTGCCATTGCCAGTTTTGTTTTGAAAGCTCCTTGCTCCAGTTATGTCACCTGATCCCTCCTTTTGGAATTGACCTAAAATAAGCATATGGGATGGTAATGAACCTAGACAAACATGAGCAGTTAACCCTTGCACAGCAGGTTAGGTCCACTGCAAGCTTTAATCATTTTATTTTCCTTGAGATCTTCTTTAAAAATAGGGTAATTCCTTAAATGTCCATAGTCTGTGCATAGTAGTACTTTTAGTCTGAATCTGTTTCAGAACTGGCCAACTAAAGTGCACCCACGACTGTGCTCAAGCAGATGTTGCCTTTAGTGTAAGCTGCATGTCAAACAAGCCATAAATCCAGCGATAATGGCAAATAAAGTCCTGTCCCTGCCGGCTCCTGTCTCTAAAGTCTCCCTATTGGTCCAGTAATGTAAAGCGCATGCTTACCATCCAACAGGGAGGTTCAGAGTTCAGTCATTTGGAAGAACCACTTGACTTTTACTATTTTGTATATCTCCTTCCGCAGTTTTTCTGCATTCACCATATGCTCAGTTTGATTTGCCCAGGTTGGTGACAGGTCCACTTTAAAAAGTACAGTTAAGGGAAGTATGTTTTGGATGTTTACTAAAACGTGTTTTTTGATCGAGGTTTTGTGTGTTCGGGAAGCCATTTTTACTGGGCACTTGACGCTTTTATTACCACAGCACCTATTGTAATGCAGATTTGCTGCAGCGCAGAACAAAACCCTGGCAATTTTCTTAATTTCTCAGCATGGGTCTCCCTGAAGCCTTTAGTATTGAAAAGATTTGTCTAGACGGCTTAATTTTGCTTTTCTAAAGCTTGCCATTTCCTCCGTTTCTTTCCCATTCATAATATTTCTTTTTAGCCTAAATTATGGATTATTAAAGCACTGAAAGCCCCTCAGGCGTGAATAGAAGTTCTAGAAATTTGGGATTTGTGGTTTATTTACTTCTCTCTAAGCAAGATTACCAAAGAGTGTGCTCTAGATCTCTTCCATAATTCTCCAGAAGTAATTTTACGACTAAATAAAAAACAAAAATTTTGACTAATGTCTTTATTCAACCTCAAATACTATGTAACTATGTAAGATTACCAAAGAGTGTGCTCTAGATCTCTCCCATAATTCTCCAGAAGTAATTTTACGACCAAATAAAAAACAAAAATTGGAGGGAAAAGGTACCCACACGGTGTATTTTCACAATGAAACACTAGCAGCACATACATCACATTTGTCAAGTGTACGGCAGGTCCTCTTTACCCTTCTGGTTATTCACACAGCAGTCACACTGCCTTTGATCTCTAAAACTCGGGCGCGTGGCTCTGATTTTCAGCATTCAGTTTACAGGCTCTGATGTCACTGGGACCTCAGTCAGTTCGTTTTGGAAGCAGTTAGAATGTGTGATCTATAGTAGCCAAGTTACTGCTTCGTGTTAACCAGTTGACATCCGCGGTGTTAAACCCCCTTCCTCGCTGATCGCCTATATGTGAAACACCCGGTACCGGGTGTTCACATTGGACGGGTCTTTTCTGCCCGTGCGTGCCCGCGTGCGCGAGCAGAAAAAAAATGCCGTCTGGCGACGGCAACCCGCCAATGCAGCAGTGCCGTCCGTCCGTTTTTCTACTATGGGCGGACGGCAAGAGGTTAACAATACCCAGAAAACATAGGAAGCCATGATCCAGGGTAAAAGGAGGAAACGCAAACAAAAAGCATAAACAACACTTCCACTACAGACAGCGTGTTTGTTAGATTCGGGCCGGGCTCACACCTAGGTGTTCATGAGCAGTTGGAAAAGAGCTTTTAAAGGCCCAACACAAGAAATCCCATGATTTTCAATGGCCCCTGTTCACACCTGAGTAGATAAATGCCCGATAAGACATGAGCTGCTTTGGGCAGTTAAAAGCGTGTACTTTTGCCCCATAGACCTCAATGGAAACGCCCAAAACCGTGCGGCAGAAGCATGTTGCACATTTTCGAGCGTGTTTAAGCGCACGTTCGTCCGTTGCTGCAGTGTTTCATAAGCTGCCAGTCAAAAGGCGCATCTTCATGTGAACACGGACAATCACGCATCAAAATGTGCAAATAATCGCATGTTTAACACGCACGTACGAATGTGCAAACACTACCGCCTAGGTGTGGACCTGACCTTAAGCTGGCCATACACCTGTCAATGTATTTGTTGAACCCGCGGGGCTGAACGGAACAAATTGACCCGATTCCTCCATTAACCCAAACAGCGTGCCGATCGAGGAATCACCGCTGTTTGCATTGTATTTTGACCGGTGCCCCTGGCACCTGTCAGAATACCCGATCGGAGCGAGCAGCTCATTGGCTGCTGACTCTGATCATACAAAGATTTTCCAGCCGGCTCCTTTGATCAGCTGATTGAGGAATGTCGGCTGAAAGGGAGCAGACAGTCCCATACACTGGCCGAATTTTGGCCAGTACACTAAAAACCAGCTGAAATTCGGCCAGTGTGTCGGCTCCTTTAAGCTCAACACAAACGTAACAATATGATTGTTTAATCTCTAGAACTACCAAATACTATGTAGTGCAAGGGTCTGCCTGAGTTGGACACATATTGGTTAGATTAAATAGATGCTCATATTATATAACGTGTTTCCCCGAAAATAAGACACTGTCTTATATTTTTTTTTGCCCCACAAAAACCCCTAGGTCTTATTTTCAGGGGATGTCTTATTTTTTTTGGTGCAGGTGCACAGTGCTGCGTCTGTGGATCAGTGTAAAAGCAGCCCAATACGGTAATCACTTCAGAATGTCAGAATGTCCCCTGTCTTTTATTTACTGACCTTAATGGTATGTTAAGAATGAGAATAATACTGTTGCTGTTATTTTCCTGCTGATCAGTATTGGTAAAGCAGATTCCGTTCTTTCACAGGAGGAGTGCATCTGGTATCACTCCGCCTGTCACAGTAACCGGCGCTATAGACCAAGTAGCGGCTAATGCGGCTCTGCTGCCGCAGCCTTGCTTTCTGCAGCTTCCTTTGCCATCAGGGACAGCGCTACCAGTGGTGCAGCAGTGGGGACATCAGACAGTGGACAGCGTGGTATAGTACATGCTACCTGAGGACTACAAATCCCAGCAATACATTGTACACTGTATGTATAATGTATTGCTGGGATTTGTTGTATTCCTATATAGCTGGTAGTATTCTGCATTGCGCTGTATAGAGGTCTACAAATCCCAGCAATAATACATTATACAGCGCAATGCAGAATACCATCAGCTATAGAAGAGTACAACAAATCCCAGCAATACATTATACAGTGGTGCAATGCTGAATACCACTAGCTATAGAGGACTACAAAACCCAGCAATAGTACATTATACAGTGCAATGCAGAATACCGCCAGCATTATAGCTGGCGGTATTCTGCATTGTGCTGCATAATGTACTATTGCTGGGTTTTGTAGTCCTCTATAGCTGGTGCCATTCTCTATTCATTGCTCTATAATTTTACACTTTTAATTTCAATATATTGCACACCACACTTTTTTTTTTTTTTACTTCCACCGCTCCAAGCTTGCTCCTGTGATGAACTGCAATCTCCATACAAACTAGTAGTCCCATCACTGGAGCCATTTTTTACATTTTTTTTATTTTTATCCGATTAACCGATCGAACTTAATAATCGGCTAACTAATCGATTTTGAAAATCGTTAGCTGCAGCTCTACCACCAAACTAGGTCTTATTTATTTTCAGTGTAGGTCTTATATTACAGGAATCTTGAAAAAGTGCTAGGTCTCACTTTCGGGGTAGGTCTTATTTTCTGGCAAACGCGGTAGTTTGGGTACATTTACCCTGGGTTCACACCTAGGCGTATTACGTATGCACGTCTGTCGCGCGACCGTCACGCGTTTTTTTAACCGCGATTCGCTACTTGGCTGTATCCCAATGGAAAACGCCCTCCAAAACAGCCCAAAGAAGTACATGTACTTGTTTGGGCGTCAGCCGTTTTGTAGGGCGTTCAGACGGGCGGAAATACGGAAAGGTGTGAACCATACCCATAGAAAACAATGGGATTTTCATGTTTGTGCGTTTTTGTAGAGCGTTCATAGAGCGTTGAACGCCCGACCAAAACGGAAAGGTGTGAACGGGGCCTTAAAGTTAATTGTACAAAGATTGCACCGTCAGATTGTAACTTGTATGGTGATGCTTAGACCTATCACACTTGAGATCCTTGGCCTATGTATAGAACAACATTGTGACTGTATAATCTCCTTTTAGTTCCAGCAACAACTTTATTAGCTAGTTTAGGTAGATCCTTCATATTACACAATTTTGGTAAATCATCAGTAAAGAGTGGAAGGTCATATTCTAACATTACTGGTAAGGTTTTCTTCTACCAGTAGGCCTCCTTTACTCGCTGTCTATCTGTCTGTTTTGTTTCAATGTATATGCTCAGAGACATTTCTTTTTTCTGGCAGAAGGAAGAAGCATGCAATTCACAGCAGTGACACCACTTCCTCCTCAGATGAAGAACGGTTTGAGAGGAGAAAGTCCAAGAGCATGACCAAAGCCAGGAACCGGTAATTGCACTATGCGTGTCATAAGTAATACTGGGGAACCAGCATCGGATCAATTTGGTTTTCTTTTTCCGGTTTCCCTTTGCTTTGTACTAATGGCTTATTTTTCCCTAAAGTTACCTACAACCCCAGTTCCAAAAAAAAGTTGGGACGCTGTGTGAAATCTACATAAAAACACAGTGCAGTGATTTTCAAATCTCATATCTCATGGTAATAAAACCTGACAGAGGTTCTAACATTTATGCTATTCTAAACTTAAAAAAGAGCAATTACACTTAAAGCAGCACTAAACTCAGGAGTTAAATCTTAAAAATGCATTCGAGTACCTTAATTATTAACAACAATGTATCTTATTTGTGTATCACTCGGCTGTAGATCCTCCAATCATCTCTCCTCTCCAAGCTCGCTCCCATGATGGACTACAATCTCACGTTTAGTTTACTGATTTGAATTGCGATTGTAGTCCATCACAGGAGCGAGCTTGGAGCGGTGACTACTTTACAACACACACAGGGACCATGGAGAACAAATGTAGCCCCCCTCCAGAAGGAAGGACAGTCTCGGCACCAATTCTGAGATGATTTGAGGATCTACAGCCGAGTGATACACAAATAAGATACATTTATTTATGTTAATAGTGGAGATAAGGTACTTGAATGCATTTTTAAGATTGAACTCCTGAGATTAGGGTCACTTTAAGGCACGACACAACCAATTACCTAAGATACATTTATTTATGTTAATAGTTGGGGTACTTGAATGCATTTGTGTCATTTAAACAGTTAACCCTACATTTGAAATATTTGCACATATTAAAATGTCCATTTTAGGCCTGAAGGTTACGTAAAACCACCTAAATATTGAATCTTCTCTGAAAGCAGAGAACTTGGAGAATAAAATGGCATTTTTTATGTCGCACAATAATTGCACGTCTGTTCATAAAATTGATATTATCAGTATACACTCTAAGTTTAATGCGCACGTACACAATATAACCATTTTTTGGGTAAAATTTAAAAGATGATTGTCATGTAAATGGATACCAAATATATGTAGTAAAGCCTTAGAACAACGTGCACCTGTGAAATGGGTGTAAAACTAGAATTTGTCCCTAGGCAACGTTTTCTCAAGTCTTAACTGTTCATCAGTTAACAGTAAATGATGGCTGTGGAGTTTCATGCTCACACTGAAGGGAGCACAGCGATACCCAATATATTTGGCACAATCATCAGTTTCAAAAATATGTTGTGCGTTTGTCCTTTTGTTTTTTATTAAACGTAACAATTTTTCAATTTCTTTTTTTAAAATTAGGCCCCCATAGTGCGGTATGACAGCTTCTCTTTAAGGAGACAAGAGGGGGTCTATTGGACCCCAAACATCACCCCTGCATTATTTTAAGGCTGATTGAGCACAGACTGATCGGATTCTTCTCCGGCTTGAGAGACTGGAGATCGACAGCTGTGATCCCGGAAGTGCTCAGAGCTGAGCAATTCTGGGTTCATTCTTCACATGGGAGAGCGCTCCTTGCCTGCCTCTCTCTCAATCCCAACACCCACCATGTAGGTCTTAGGCACCCAGGGGGATATCTAAGCCGCCGCACCACTTGTACAGGAAAACTGTTAGCTTGCGCTAAAACAAACCCAGACTGCTCTAGTCTCTTTACATGTCTGTGTTACCCCCAACCTGATTCTCACGTCTGCGGCAGGGAAAAAGTTAACGTTTTTCCAGAAGCTTGGCACTTACCCATAAAGTGTAAGTCTTCCTGTAAGGAAAGCCAGGTTTTACCATTGACTTGCTTTACACGTTCAGTAAATCTGTTCTAAGCACAGTGACACGGTGTGCTGGACTTGTTTTTCTGATTTAATTTTTTTTATGTTTTATATGTTAGGTGTCTCCCCATGAATCTTACAGCTGTGGATCTCGCTGGTGGTATCGTGCGAGAAAGGGTTAAAGTTGGTGCCAGCCTGGCTGATGTGGATCCAATGAACTTGGATCGATCGGTGAGTATTGCACTGAAAAGACTATGGAGCGAACTTAAAGGTTAACAGAGTTGTTCGCTCTTTGAACATCTGAGTTTTAGTCACACCACCTTATGGCCACTAGATGGAGCTGAGGAGCATAAGAAATTCCTATGCTCCTCAGCTCCATCTGGTGGCCATAAGGTGGTGTGACTAAAACTCAGACGTTTGCAGAATGAACAGCTCTGCGAATGCTTGAAAAATCACCACATTGTATTTAAAGATTGTGTTTTATCTGTGATAGATGTATTCTGATTTTTAAATTATAAATATTTAGAGCAGCTCCAGGCACCAAGTAAAAGCAATAGGTGATCTGCTTCTGATATCCTGGAAACATTGCATATTGTAAGTGGCCATTGCTGAACTCTCCTGAAAATGCAGGTTGCTTGGATGTCTTTGGCTTTAGTACTTTAAGCCACTGACTTGAAACAAGCATGCAGATGAGTAATGCCAGTATGAGGTCAGAACTCACGCCATACTTGTTTTAAGGCAATTACATTGCATGTAGGGAAGCAACTGGATCACAACTGCAGTCGGTGAGGTAGCAGTTTCAGATGAGGAGGCAGCCTGCAAGCCTTCTCTTTGTAGGTTTCCTTGAATTAAAAAATCCTGCAAAATTTGCCTATGCCTGGGCAGGGAATGCTGCCAACCCAACTTTGTCTATGCAGTGTGGAAGGCTGTTGGGAAATTCGTGTGTCATTACAGAAGGCAATTCTTGGCCTCCCTTATGTCAGTTGAAATGTTTAGGCACAGCCTGGCAGTGTTGGGTCTGGGTGTATTGGGGAATATGCAGTGTGGATCCAAGTTCTGGACTTTGAAGGGGGTAAGGGCTAGGTGGTGAACTAAGGGTATCAGCAAATTACGTTTTGCTTGATGTTGCAGCATTTCCTCCTTCTGTGAACTGAAGAATAATTGGGTGGGATTCATCAAAGTGCTGAAAAAATGCTGGGGGTCCTCCATCCAGGAATGAGGCAAGGTCTGTCTGACTTGCAGCATCTAATGCACACTGTGAGAAGCTCACAACGTGCAGTGAGATCAGAATAAGCAATTTCAGTCCAGCAGAGGAACTTGTACAACTGTGCAAGATGGAAGGTATTGCTTGATTTCAGCTTTAAGGTTTAGACTACGTTACCTGATTTCACCAATAGGTGGTGCTGGAGGAGGAACCTAATTGCAGCCTTCTATCTTAAGGCAATGGGATTTGGGGGGGGGGGCGACTTTATGATTGAATTTTTTTTAAGAAAAGAGCGCACACCAGCTTCACCTTAAAGGTGCCTCATACAATAATAATCAGCCCACTCACTCTCTATAATACATTTTCTCCAGCAAAGATATCTGAACAGAAGTCTTCAACAGTTAGGCCATATACATCTCTTTAATCGTCATACTCTGAATGTAGCAGCTTACCATGAAAAGTCCTCCAAAAATAACATGATGGTAATGCTTTAAATAAGACAGGCTCTATTTAGTATACTGCTATGTTTTGAATATGTAAAGAGATTAGAGCGCGGTATTGCTGAGTTTGTGCTGTTGAAGACCTCTGTGCAGTTGCACTTTAATTTTTGTAACGCATGTTGTACATGTAATTAAATGTTTTGGTTTCTGCTTTTTTTTTTTTTTTTTTCTTTTAGATTCGGTTTGATAGTGTCGGAGGACTGAGCCAGCACATTTATGCATTGAAAGAAATGGTGGTTTTTCCACTCTTGTATCCAGAGATCTTTGAGAAGTTCAAAATCCAGCCACCCAGGTCAGTGGGGATCTTGGGTCATACGATGAGTGTACACACACGTACATACACACACGTACATACACACACTTTTTTTTTTTTTTCCTGATTTGCATACAGTGTGGAAGGATTGGATCTCATCTCTGTTGGGGTTGTACTGCTATCTGGGGCTCCATTAGAGATATTTCTCCTCACTTCCTGTCCTGGAGATAGTGATTTTTACCAGACAAGAAGTGAGGGAAAATCTCCAGCTGCAACACTTGCAAAGGTAAAACTTATGTTTTAAGGGAAAACTTGAACCTCCATATTGCTGTGTATGTGCCAGTTATGGATTTTCCCTCAATTCAGCAGAGAGTATTGAATCCTTAAAAAAAATCAATTCGATACCTTCCTCAGAGACCGTAACATTCAGGGGTACAGGTACTCTTAAAACCTAGGACCGTACACACGTACACACGTACACACGTACACACGTACACACGTACACACGTACACACGTACACACGTACACACGTACACACGTACACATGTTGAACTTGATGGACCTGTGTCTTTATTCAAGCTCAAATACTATGCAACTATGTAAGATGTCACCAATCACATGCGCGTATTATCTACTTACCTTTGTGGTGACCCGTCTGTTGAAAAGCTGCCGCATCTCGGATCCCCAGCTACAGCACATAGTTCAAAGTCTCATGAGCTGAATACATGCTTCCCCTGCTGACCGTTGTGGTTCCTTCCACTGGGATGTTAGTCTTTTAATGACATATGAGCCAGCCTGAGTACCCACAGTCCCCAGGGGATTGGCAAGTATTTTACACGCTAAGAAATGTAGAGTACGTGCAGTGGCTGGGAGAAGCACTGGCTTTTCAATGCACGGGCTGTCGCAAAGTTAGGTATATATCGCTTCTTGGACATGTGACCTCTTCGTTAAGTGACCCTGTAGGAGAGTCACTGTAATAAAGTTCTTCTGAAGATACGTTTTTCCTATACAGATGTTCCTCACTTACCGACTTACCTGTTTTGCGAGCACTCGCACTTACGACGGACCGCCGACGGACCGCCGATCGACCTCGTGCGTCAGCGCGACGGGTCGCCGGCGGAAGTGACATCCCCCGATCTTCACTGCAGGTCTCGGTAAGTATTTCCATTGCCGGATGTACAGTACACTGTTCGGTACTGTACATCGGCAACGCTATACAGTACTGTCCTAATGCAGTACAGTACTGTATAGAGTTCCTCACTTAACGACCAATCCGTTTAACGACCTGGTCGTAGGAACGGAGCTCGGTCGTTAAGTGAGGAATACCTGTATCATCCATTAAGGGACACAGCTAGATAATTAGGCAAACTAGGGTTATATTGCCGCCTACAGGAGAAATGGACACTAGGCACATAGTCCTGTCCCTCTGGAGGCCAGAACTCCTATCATCACCTCAGTTTTGCTCGGTGTTCTTGGTAGAGTGGATATGTTTTCTTTTCCTATATGGCCATTCTGTTTACAAAGATTTGTGTTTGGATATGAACACGCTTCTGTAGAGGGTGCTGTTAGCTCACAGGAAGGAATAACTTATTTTTTTGACTGGACATACACTTTAAGGACTCGCATCTCATGGGCGTGGTCTTTGGCCGTCTCAAATTGGGTGCTAAAGGATTTTGCCCTATCACTGCCTGACAGGGTCTCTTTAAACCCAGTCTTAGGCATAGGAGCCAATGATAATTGTCATCTTTTTGATCACCAACAACCTTTTATAATTATTCTATTTAACTTTTGTAAGTTTATTAGCTACTTTTACAGCCCCTGTTATTCAGATCACAGGCTTGATCTTTCTTTTAGTCCTGCTTAGCACCTTCGTCCTTAGTTTAACGTTTGAAGATGATTAAAAAAGAAAATTTACTATTTGCAAACTTTTTTTGTATTGCTGTTCTACCGCACGCACGCAGGCGCACACACACCACATACACACACCACACACTTCAATACACGTATTAAATATACACGTATGGTACCATCGGGTGCAAAAATAATTGTACTGGCCGATCAGCACAAAGCTGGTCTGTAGAAATTATTTGGGGCTATAATTGTTAGCAACTGCTAGTCCTAAAGTGATGAAGGCTCTTATTCTCCTCGTGATTACTCTGCGGACTGTTATGGATTAAACCTAAGTATGGGAAAGCTGTTTAAGGAGAGGGCCGCTCCTGGCATTAACAGGGGTCTTTGCTGCTCAGTCACACCAGATACACACTGAGTAAATATTGGGGGTTATTTCTGAAGAAAGAAAAAAAAGTACCCCCTTGAATTGTATTGTAATGTCTTCCTTACATTGTGAAGCGCTGCGCAAACTGTTGGTGGTATATAACCCCCGCATAATAATAATAGAAAGCACTGATCCCTCGAACAATCAGCCAAAATGAAATGGGAACAAGACATTGTCCATATCGGCTAATCAAATTTCATCTTGCTTCACAGTTTGGGAAAAAAAGTACAAAAGGTTTGTGATTCAGGTCCCTCTTTTTTTTCTGTGTAACATTTTGGGTATCAATACTATTTATTATTGATTTTTTATTAGCGCTGACAATTTACGCAGCTCTTCACATTCATATCGGGGACATTACTAGTGTTTATTTTTTAGTAATTAGAAGACTGAAATCTGTAGTAGCGATCTGCAAGGTAATTGGTTGTGTCGTGCCTTAAAGTGACCCTAATCTCAGGAGTTCAATCTTAAAAATACATTCAAGTACCTTAACTATTTACAACAATGTATCTTATTTGTGTATCACTTGGCTGTAGATCCTCCAATCATCTCTGAATTGGTGCTGACACTGTCCTTCCTTCTGGAGGGTGGCTACTTTTGTTCCCCATGGTCCCTGTGTGTTGTAAAGTAGTCACCACTCCAAGCTCACTCCTGTGATGGACTACAATCTCATGTTTTTAATTTACTATTTGTATAGAGGATCTACAGCCGAGTGATACACAAATAAGATACATTTCTGTTAATGATTAAAGTATAATTAAACCCTCCGGTGTTTTTGCATATATGTATGGCTAGCAAGCAGTATATATATGCAGAAAGTGTAAAAAATAAAAAAAAACTCGCTTTAAAAGAGGTTAATACCTGTGTCTTCCCCGCGTGCTCCCGTCCGAAAAATGTGAAAATTCTCGGGCGGGCGCAAAGCATCTTGGGGCGGGCGCATGCGCAGTTCACATTTTCGGCCAGGTGACAAGGAGAGACACGAGATAAGTCTATAGACACGTGCATGCAGACACTGTGGGACAGGAAGTGCCAGAAAAGACAGGAGTCGGCGCTGAATCGGACACCTGCAGCAGCGCTGGAGGGATAGATGAAAAGGACAGTAAAGAAGAAGATCATTGGATTAAGAGACATCATTTAAGGTAAGTGCTTTAATTAACATTGGGTGAGGGAAAAAAATATTTGACAAAATATTTTAATGTCACTTTAAGGAACTTGAATGTATTAAGATTTAACTCCTGAGTTTAGTGTCACTTTTAAATAGCTTCTAGAGGTTTATATTGATTCCTTTAACTGACTTAAAGTCAACCTTCCTCAAGGATAATCTAAGGTGTGTCAGGGTGTCTGGCTTTGGGAAAAGGTTTATTTTTGAGATTTACAAATAAAACATTTAGTACAGGGAGCACCTCTGATATAAGATCCCCAGAGCTCTATAGAGTTCTTTTTTTTTTGTGAAGAGTCTGTTTGCTTTCAGGCATTCTTTCTCATTTAAAATGGCATAGAGGGATGGGTGGAAGCCGAATCACTTGAATGAGTACAGCGGCCGCATCTGAATCATTGTGCTGCAGGAATCTCTAGGATCTTGCCACTGGAATGCCAGATTGGTGTCTCTGTGTCTCTGTGTCTCTGTGTCTCTGCTTCATGTCCCTTGGGCCCTGTCACCAGGACCACAATTGTTGACACCTGTCATGGAAGAAATAAAATTGTACTATTGCCAGACTTTTGAAAAAATATCTCTGCAACATCAAACGCACTAATTAACATTTAAAAAAAAGTAATTTTTATTAGTCACAATTTTAGAAGAATGTAGAGTAGCCATTAGAGAGGGAGCGCTCTGTGGCTCAGTGCAATTACTCTAAGCTATCAGCCGCATAGGGGGTGCGTTGTTTTAAGTTATTTGGTCAACTCATAGACTTGCGTTGTGAGAAGAAGCAGTAAATTGCATCCTCTATATAGCACTCCACTCCAGCGCTCGTATGCGTGTATACGACCAAATATTCATGTATCGTTGTACATAATACAATGGACAAAATAATGCTTTTTGATACAATTATTTACTTCAAGGTGATATTTTCACATGTTCACCCGTAAAAAAACGCTGAGAAGACTAGGTGTTCCGTGTAACGTTTAAGGCTCCTTGGCTCTGTAGCCATTCCTTAAAGTGACCCTGTCACTACAGGGTTATTTGGCAAGAGATCACCTATAAAAGAAGTGTTTATATACTTAGGTTTCCCATGGCTGTGTACTAAAAAGCTGCGCATCTCTGCTCCCCAGCGGCTCAGCGTATTTGGCCAGCAGGTGAGATTAATACTTGCTCCCTATGCTGGCTCCTGTGGTTCCTCCCACTAGTGTGTATGTGTCTTGTGATTTAGGAGTGGGTGGGAGGTACCACAGCAGTTGGGGGGTAAGAAAGTATTCTACACATCTGGAATGAACAATACCTGCTGCAGCGCAGAGAAGAGGCAGCAGTTCAACATGCCGGCTGCTGCAAAAATACGTATGTCACTTGTAAAAAGTTTCTCTTGGCTAAGAGTGACCCTGTGGCAGAGTCCCTTTAATGGGAGAGTCCCTTTAATGGGAGAGTCCCTTTAATGGGAGAGTCCCTTTAATGGGAGAGTCCCTTTAATGGGAGAGTCCCTTTAATGGGAGAGTCCCTTTAATGGGAGAGTCCCTTTAATGGTCCTTCTGAACATAGTTTTTTCCTATACAGCCATTCTATTTAGAGAGAATAGTGTTGCGTATGATTAAAGTGTTCTGTAGAGGGTGCTGTTAGCTCGCAGAAAGCAACGGTGTTCCTCTAGTAACATTTTTGTAGACTGGTATAAATACAGGCTTATTTTGGTGTCACACAGTTATAATAGGAGGTTTATTCAAACATTCATAATGCCCCCATTGGGAGAGGGGTTAAATCTCCTGGCAGCAGCTGCTGCGTTTTGCCAAGATGTGATCAGCCGGGGAGAGAGGACGTGTGACAGCTCAGTCATTTCTCCACATTGCACGGATTAGCTGCTTGCATAACAGATGGCTGATTATAAAGCCCTTCTCTCAGTAAGGATCTACGTGGAAACCCACCTCTCAATATATGACGGCATTTGTACGTAGTTCAGCGGGACCTTCAGCCTTCAGGTCTTCTCAAACTTGTCTATTGCTTTTGAATATAGGGTGGTTGATTCCATATCAAAATATAGTTTGCTGTATTCATGCTAGCCCGAGTTTGCTTGCTTTTCATTCTGACTTGATTGACACTCGTACATTACCCTAATGCATGGGTATATGTGCATTGTGCCGCACTGCTATTTATTTTGAACGCTCGTGGTGCTGCTTCGGAAAAATAGTCAGGTGCCTTTTTATTGTTTGCTGAAGTACATTGACAGCACATTGAAATTGAAGGGGCTCTTGTAAGGCAGCATGCATCAAGGCACAGAAAAGTTAGAATTAAAGGAGCTGTAAAGTCCCAGCATATCGTCTCCCGTCAAAACATCAGCATTGTAATAGGAATACATAGTAGAGCTGTCTCTGATAATACAATCAAAGCTTACTAGAAAAAAAACCTTTTATGTAGTTAGTGTTGCCTTCTGTCTGCCCATCACTTTCAGCAATTTTCTGGATTCTAGGGCTGCAACAAATAATACATTTGATAATCGATTATGAATCCTTGACAACCATTCTCATCGATTAGTTGAATCCCCCGCCGCCACTCTGCTCTTCCATTCTACTTGCTGGGAGCCGCTGCAGTCTGTGCCCCAGGCCCCTCTTCTCCCGGTGGTAGAAAGCCTGCGTCAAGTCTCCCATCCAGCGGCTGGGAGCAATATCCAGCTTTCTATTGGCTATTTTAAAGTGCAATAGTCAATAGCAGGCTATTGCACCCGCTCATTGCCTGATGTCAATCAGCAGTGGAGGGAACTAGAGGATGCATTTCTGGTCCACCTCTGCTGATTGACTGCAGGCAGTGGGCGGGTGCAATAGCCGGAGTTGAAATAGCCAATAGCAGGCTGGCTATTGCTCCCAGCCACTGCCTGCTCTGTTGAAATTCAGCTGCCTCAGGAGACAGTTTATTCCCCCTAATGTTACCTTAAAGTGCAACTCCAGTCAACTCCAATATGCTATCGCATAGGGTGCTTGTGAGCCCCCCTATGTGATAGCAATGAAGTAAAAAAAGTTAAGTCCCCCAACCCTGCGAAAGTGCACATACTAACCGAAACACAAGTCGGTTGCGTTACACATGTCCTGTATCGCCGTGTGTGCCAGAGTGAGAGCAATCATTCTCATGCCAATTTTCATGGATAACTCTAAACTGAAGACTATATTTTTACTTAACTTCATTACCGTTCCATAGAGGGCTTTTGAGCCCCCCATGTGATAGCAGTGAAGTTAAGTAAAAAAAAAAAAAAAAATAATAAAAAAATTCCCCCAAAAATATTAAAGTCCTTTGCCCCCATGAACGCGCACATACTAATGGAAAGTCGGGTGCACCTACATACAAAAATGACAATTGTGCTACACATGTCCTGGCTCCTAACTTTGTTAGCTGGCTCCTAGATTCAAAGCAAATTTGTGGAGCCCCGATGTATATAATTTATTCCTCTCCTAGCTTGACAGGTGTATGGGAATACCTGCAGCCAGGAATCCTGTACACAGCAGTAACAGGCTGATATCAGTGTCTGACCCTGAACGCAGGCATTGTATCAAGGGCCAGTCATCTGTCCCTAGCTGCAGGTTTAACTAAAAGGTTGTGCAGCAAGGTGGAAGGGTCACATGTACACGTTAAGTGCAAGGGCTGCTTTAATACATAAAGCTGAACTCTGGGATAACCAAATATTGCCTTAAATACAAGAGGCGTTTGTATTCCTCCTGGAATCTTGGTGAGCTTTGTGTATTCCAGATTTGTGCAGTGATCCAGTGTGAAACACGGAGCTTCCTGTTATAAAGACCGGTCACTGCTGCTCTCTCCTAGTGCAGGTTTACTTGTCTTGTCTCCACCCCCTTCTGTAATAAAGACCAGTCCCTGCTGTGCGCTCTCCTTGTGCAAGGTGACTGGTCTTGCCCCTCCTGTAGTTTTCAGGAGGCAGTCTGTAGTGGGTGGGGCCTGCTGGGTCCCTCCCACAGCTCTTCTCTCTGCATAAACAGCATAGAGATAATGTCATTGCTACTTTTACAAGATAATATTGTACACACAGTGAAAATTGTGCTTTGTGGCTATTGAGCAATATATTTAAAAGTTTTGTGGCCGGAGTTCAGCTTTGACCTGATTTATTAAAATCTATTCCTAACACTTAAAACTAAACCCCCTAATCTCTGATCCCCAACATAACTCATAAGACTAAACTAAGCTTGTGGTCGGTATATTCACCTGATTATGCGTCAAGAGCAACTGTGCCAAATCCTCGCAGCTCTGTGCCAATTATTGTCCATACCGAGAACTACCGTTCCAGAATTGCCTGCATTGTGCCGCTTCCCTTGCCATCCGCTGCGGCCTTTTTGAGAACCATGAAGAGCCTCTCCGTAGAGCTCCGCTGTAGAGGTTCTCAAGGCTTGGTTAGTGCCGTCCTTGAAACAAAAAGCCTTGTATTTTGTGCGAATCAGTTTTTGTTTCCCTGCCACCACTCCAACGACTCGCTGCACAGCCACCGACATTGCATCATTCGCCGTTTCCATTAGACGCAGCGCTCGCCGAGCCGGCCGCTAAGCCTGTTTACCATGTTTTGTGTAGTGCTGCGTGTTCCTGGACGGAACAAAAGTTTGTGTTCTCTTTTTTTTTTGTCACAGATCACTGATGCATTTCTGGGCTTGTCCTCTCTGGCTGCTTTTCAGAATTTCAAAATGCGCAATGTTTTTTTTCCCCTTCCTCAAGTCATAAAATATGTATGAAAAACTGTTCAGTGTATAAAGTCAAGGGCAGATGTAGCAAATGGTAAGGACATCTTTTTATTCGTGTTACGCAAATATTAACAGAAGTATTATTTAATTCTATTTCATCTCTGGGAGAGCTGGGTTGCCATTGAGGGAACTGCATGACCCAGCTTGCCCTATTAAGAGGAGGGTGTAGATCTGTAGTATTGGCTTACTGCCCGGATTGCTGTTGCAGGCTCGTGAGTGGCGCTACCTGCGGCTGAGTGGCCAGCTACTTGGATAGCATTGAAGCCAAAGCATTAGCCTGGCAGCCAGGAAACTAACATTTCCAAAAGGAGGGTAGGTATTGGCAGCTCCCATTACTATCAGCGTATTCTCTGGCAGTGTGATGTGCCTACTTCCCCCCTCTGCTGGGCTACAGAAAACCCTTCACATGTGTTATGGAGATTGGGAGAGGCAATGGTGTTCTGTAGTCTTGTAGTCCAGCAAGGTGGGTCGTGCTCACAACATTGCTTGGGATTTCATTGCAGCAGAAGCACTGCATTGCTGAAACAGGAAGTTAGGGACTCGCTGTATTTCTGGAGATCAAAAGGTATTTTTCTGTATTTATGTTTTTTGTGGAACATGGGAAGAAGTACATGTAATTTTAAGGTTGCCTATATATTTATTTTTCTTGTTTGCACACATTCTTTAAAGCTTACTAAACATTATGGTTTTCCTTTGTCCCATGAAGACATGGTTTGCCTTCTAATATTTGATGTTCTTTTTCTCTACAGGGGATGTTTATTTTACGGTTCTCCTGGAACGGGGAAAACCTTGGTGGCACGAGCTCTGGCCAATGAATGCAGCCAGGGTGACCGGAAGGTTTCTTTCTTCATGCGCAAAGGAGCCGACTGCCTCAGCAAGTGGGTTGGAGAGTCAGAGCGTCAACTGCGACTTCTGTTTGATCAAGTAAATGGTTTTTATTTTTAAACTTTATTCTGGTGAATGCCGATTATTGCAGTGCAAATATTTCATTGCCTCAGAGGTCAGGCTTCAACAACTGTATACAATCCTGTAAGACATTTACCTCTTACTAGCAGCTTACTCTGATCTGATCTTCCTTAAATCATCATTCAGAAGCTTTGTATTTGCAATTTCTTGTGCATAGGACACCTGCTACTGCTACTTGCACATCAGGGGGACCGGTCCCCTTACCGCCCCTGTGTACTCTGATCATCTGTTGCACGGACCTCATTGTATCAGTGTAAAATGATCAGTGGGTAATACTATTCTAATTCAGCAGGAACATCTTACCTGTCGGTGCTCATCCACCGCCCAGCTGGTGTCATGTAATACATATCCAACCCCTGTGTTCTCTAAGCTCTGCATCTTTACCCATTTTAAAATCAGTACCCTGACCACGCCGAATGAAAGCCCTCAAATGTAACTAGCATTCCAAAATATGATGTGTAGTTCTATATGGCTCAGAGAGAGACGGGAAATTGCATGCTGCACCAGAGACTACCCTCCTATTCAGCTAAAAAACAGATAACAAAATAAAAACTACTTGTGAGGTCACCAGTGGGGTATTTGTGACCTCACATGTAGTTTTTTTATTTTTTTCAATGATTTCACATTTTATCCAACTAAACAGATCATAGGAATTATACAGGGAATATGAGGAGCGATAGAAGATCGTTTTTGGGAAGTTTGCTATTGTTATCCCAAGAATCCGCTGCAAAGGCTGATTATGGAAATACCGTGTTTCCCCGAAAGTAAGACCTACCCCGAAAGTAAGACCTAGCTCTATCTTCTGGGATTTCTGTAATATAAGACCTACCCCGAAAATAAGACCTAGTTCGGGGGAGGTCTTATATTACAGAAATCCCTGAAGATAGCGCTAGATCTTACTCCCGGGGTAGCTGCACATGTAATTGATTTTTACATGTTAAGAGCGGCCGCAGCTCATTCCCTCCCCGACCGCCAGCCCGACCGCCCACACGACCGCGCCCACCCACATGCCCACCTGTTTGCATCGGAGCGGAGAGCTTGACAGCAGCAGCCAGGTAAGACATCCCCCCGAAAATAAGACCTAGTGTCTTTTAAAAAAAATAAAATAAGACAGTGTCTTATTTTCGGGGAAACTCGGTAGGTTATGAAAGGTACCCTCCAGTCCAATGTGACAATCTTGCATTTTCTCGAACTGAGAATACATTGCTGCCTTCTGAGTAGATCTAGAATTTCCTTCCTGGTTTTTGTTTTCTACATTTTGCTTTCCAAATGCATTTGGATGCTGGATTCCTCCTCCAATGGCCCTGAGCTCATCAAAATTCCAGTATATGTTTAGATCCCTGCCCTCTTTCAATCCGCCGCCTGCCCTGATATACACTTTTCAGTTTGAGATGGAAGCGGCAGTGATGACCTAAGATAGTGTGACAAGTCTGTTTGGAAACTATGCATTGCATAAGCTCAAGTTAAAATAGATTTAGACTCTGAATGACATTTAGTTTGCTAAAGCATGGTGTATATAGGTTTTTGTATTTTTTTCATTATGCTGCATCTCACTTCTGTTTTATCTTCTCCTTTTAAATTACTTCCTTTATGCACTCACTGCAGCACCATACTCAGTGCAGCCTTCTAGATGGTGGCCGCAGAGGGCGATACCAGTGCAGTAAACATGATCGGCATGGCCACCAATAGTCTGCACTTGAGCATGGAAAATGATAAAACACAAGAAAGAAGTTAGACTGGGATAGAACTTTGTCACCTCTGTAATAGAAAATGATTGAACAAGGATCTACAGGGCAGGATCACCAGCCAATGTTTTAATTTAATGGGGAAGTATTAGAGTAAAATGTACTTTTCCCAATACTTAGAGCCAGTGTGTGACACTGCAGATGTCATATGCCAGCTCTATAGATTGAGAGATCACGAACCGCTGATCACTCAGCTCACGGTCTTCTCCCGGCAGAGAGCTGTGACTGTCAGTCATCACTCCCCGCATCGATTCCCCCCTCCAGTGCTCACTAGAGGGATAAAAAAGGGGTGGCGGCGGCGGGCACAGCTGGAGAGGTAGAGCCAAGTGTCAATCTGACAGCGTGGTGGATCTCAACAATGTTGGGATCTTTCCTGGCTGCAGCGCGGCTCTGCACGGTCAGCAACTAGTAGCTTTATAAGCTGGGAATTTTGAAGAAGAATGAAACAGACTTTTAAGATGGAGGTTCTGATGAAGGGGGCGTGCCCCTTAAATGCGTAGACCATTTTAAACTCACGGGAGCAGAGGACGCTGATTTGGAGATCCCCTCAGACTTCCCCTGCTGGAGATTTTATATTTCATAGTTTCTTTTATGCTTGCGATCATTGGCTTTTGTGTAAGTACAATTTCAGTTGCGTGTTGTACCAATCAAATAAACTTTTACACTATGGAGGCGCTCTGTTTTCCTCTTGTTTCCCAGACTTTTAAGATATTAGACTGTTAAAGATTTGTGAGAATTTAGCATTTGGGCTTATCTGTGGTAAACAGAGTGGAGTTTTAATGTTCAGTGATCTCCAATACTAAGTGTTTTCTGGGTAGTATAAACATTGTTTCTTGGATTTGCGGTGCGAGTTGGTTCAGCACATCATCAAGTCTTGGTATTTTTCCTCTTAATATTTTTATCATAGATTTCCAAAAGTAGGGCTGCAACTAAAGATTATTTTCATAATCGATTAGTTGGCCGATTTTTTTTCCCCTCCCGATTAATCACATAAAAAAATTAAATATCGTCCTTAATTTAAAATAAAATACGCAAATAGAGTGTAACAAACAAAGTTTACTTCAGAATAAAACTGCATGCACAATTTTTTGCCATCGCACTCCACTGGAATGCACGGCGTTGCAGTACCGTGCGGGCGCTCACACTGTAGGTGGGAGGCACGTTTGGGGTGCCATTGGCACTGCAACGCACCTCCCACAGCAGAATTTGTCAGGCTGAAACCAAGTGACTCACCCCCCCCTCTTTTTATAATTTTGTTTTAATAATTGTATTGTAAGCACATGGCGCTCGAATAGCTTCAGCCCTGGAATGACAGCTGCCAGTGGCAAGATTCTGCAGATCGCAGCTGAATGTAAATACAGCAGGTATTTGGTTGCAATAGCCAACCTGCTATTGGCCATTTCAGATTGCAATAGCCAATAGCAGGCTGGCCATTGCACCCGCACACTACTTGCTGTGCTCTCCTCTCAGCGTGGAGGAAAGCTAGGGGATCCAGCCAACTAATCGATAATGAGAATGGTCAACAACTATTCTCATTGATTTGTATCGATTTTTAGTTGGTTGCATCCTTATCCAAAAGCATAATAAATGGTACAGAAACATAACAGTAATCCACTACTGCAATAATATAAAGATCATACTGTTTAGGTTTAGCAACAAATAAGCAAAGAAAAATCACTGTCGAGTATTGCATCAAGATGATTCCATCTGTGGTTATTCTCTTCCCTGAGGGGTGAAACCACTTTGGTGTCCATTACTAAAGCTGGTACCGCAATAGCAGAGCCTTCCAACCTTCCACATTAGATCTTTTCATATTTTTTTGAGAGCTATGTCTGCAAGTTTTTAGGTTGAGATTTTGAGGTGTAACGTAAGTGTTAACCTTTTCTATCCACTTTTATTATGTGCGAGATTGGGAGGATCTGTGCTGGTGTTTTCCTGGCCAAATATAAGGTTCTGCTCACTGCTAATTTGAGGTGAGGGTCATTACAGGCGTGGCCCAAATTGCCCAGGAGTCCCATCTTTGGTTCAGAAAATTGTAGGCGACATGCTTGAATACTGGTAATGAAAACCTCTTGTCTGTATAGTACTAGTTTAGAGTATTTCTAGAAGGTGAATAAGATCCCCTTGTCCTGAGATGCATCTGGAACACATTTCCTGTACACTCTATGCAGGTGGAAATAGCTTTGTATGTTTCAAAGAAGGAGAGACGCGTACAAACTTGGATCTCTGTCCATTGGTCCTCTCTCTCTTCTAGCCTCTGTACATTCTCAGTCAGTGGAGTGATGATTTCATTGGTAAAACACTCTGGATGCATGATGTGGTCATTGATGGCACGTGCGGCTCAAGATCAGATGACATCCTGGAAGATCTGATGTCTACAATATTTTAGGCTGTGTTCCTACAGATGTTTTTGCCATGTAGTAATTTTTGTTTCCTTTGATTGCAGGCGTATGTGATGAGGCCTTCTATAATATTTTTTGATGAAATAGATGGTCTGGCTCCAGTTCGCTCTAGCAGGCAGGATCAGATCCATAGGTAAGCTCAGTGTTTTTTCAATTTTCCTTACTTGTGTAACTCTACTACCTACTTACACTTTTACTGCCCTCCCAATCTTTATATAAGGTGGAAACCTTTCAAATGTGGGGGGTGGCAGAGACAACAAGTGAGGAGAAATCTCCAAAAGTGGACACCAGTCTGATCCAATGACAAAAGGTGGGATTTCTTCTCACATACACTTGTGACATCAGGACAGGAGATGATGTGCAATCTCCTCCGTAAGGACACTGAGTAGTAGATACCTGACTGGTTCTTCTAGATGCTTGAAAAAGGAGTCTCTCTCTAAAAACGAGCAAAACAAATGGCAAATGCACTCATCAATTTGTTACCAGCTTTACAGCAAGGTGCACATGGAAGGGCCTAATATAGTACAAACAGCAAAATGTTTTCCCAGCACCCTCGCCAGCCAGCATGCAAAAAAACTTGTCTCACCGCTAAGGTTAAAAACAGAGGTTTGGATACACGTCTTCTGCAGAACATGTGAAAGCCGCACAGAGGTCAAGGCACCTCTATATAGTGCGGTCCTAACTCTAAACTATGAGAGTCTCCATCTTGGAGCACATATGGCAAAAGATCAAATCCCTCTAAAAGCGGGTATCAGGACCAGTGCTCAGGAGACCAGCTGATTCTACAGGAAAATAAAACTTTAAACATCAAGAAGCAGCGTCCATTGTAAGGGGTTTAATCAGCATTCCAAATAGCTCAAAATCCTTTTGACTTTAATATCCCTTTAAGGTGAACCCTCCATAAATTTGTATAATTCAATCTCTAAAATATGATGAAACGATTCATTTCTCCAGTGAAATCTGCATGACACAAAGTTCAGTAGATCCAGACACATGGGCAGCTGCAGGTAAATGCAAACATCGACTTCCTGTTAAACCACGACCACCAATAATTTCACTGCGAATTGGGGGGTATCGGTTAATCGGGGCTACACTTTTTTTATGGTTTGTTTTAACCCTACCTCTGTACAGTGAGAGAGCCAACAAAAATTTCAAATGGCATTCATTAGTCGTCCAAGTTTAAACCATTTTGTATTTTTCATTTTGGATGAAGTCGGGAATGGTTAATACCCCGTCAATTTTTTTCTTTTTTTTTCTTCATCTATAATGCGGTTCAAGAGATTTACTTTACTTCCTGTTCTGTAGACCCGACAGGAAGTGAGTTGTCAATTGAACAAGTGTCCCTGTTGGGAAGATTTTCCTGTTATGCTAACATCTCAATGGTTTGAGTTTTCCTTAACTTTCAGCCCCAGTGACAATGGTCACCAGGACAAATAGAGAGAGAGTGTGAATTTCCCCAGCAGGGACACAATCGGCAATAGAAACCTGTCAGGGGTTCTAAGCCCTATGCAAATCTTAAACAGAAATGTTTTAAATGCACTTTATTTATGGTTGTGGAAGTGGTGGCATGCATTGAGCACCTAAAGCAGGGGTCGCAAAACTCCGGCCCTCCAGCTGTGGTGGAACTACAAATCCCATGAGGCATTGCAAGATTCTCACAGCCACGACTCCCGGAGAGAGGTCCATCATGGGATTTGTATTTTCACCACAGCTGGAGGGCCAGTTTGGCTACCCCTGACATAAAGGAGTTGTACCTGAGCTTTTGCATAGACACTATGACCCTGATTTACTGAAGGAGTCATCCGTTCATCCAATCATGCGCAAGCAAAAATCCTGTTTCAGTTCCCCTTACACATGATTGGGTTTTCTTTGCATTTTGAATTTTCCTTTTGTTTCATCTCATTCTTTTTCAACTCACTTTGAGGGTGAGCATGCACTCAAGTGTATCCGCCCCGTTGTGCCTATTGTGTGTGTTTCCACCCTGGGAAGGAGCAGAATTTCCCAATTCTCTCTACCTGGAGAAAACCTGTACAGAGAAGGTAGGAAGCTGCCTCCTAAAATGCTAGTTGCCTGGCCGTCATGCTGAATTAGAGGTTTCTCCTTTTTATTACTACTGAATCCCTAAAGCCACTGGCCCAGCATGACAGCCAAACAACTAGTATTTTCAGGTTGAGGTTCATCAATGTCAGCCCCCTTAGCCAAACTCCGGCCCTCCAGCTGTGGTGAAACTACAAATCCCATGATGCATCTCTCTCCGGGAGTTGTGGCTGTGAGAATCTTGCTATGCCTCAAGGGATTTGTAGTTCCATCACAGCTGGAGGGCCAGAGTTTGGCTACCCCTGCTCTAGATCTCTGGCAGGGCAGGTTTCCTGTATAGATCCTATACAGAAGTAATGTTATAGGACATTTACTGTGATTTTGTGATTCTCTGTATCAAATGCTTTTTTATTTTTTCCCCACCACAGCTCTATAGTCTCCACTCTGCTTGCACTCATGGATGGGTTGGATAATCGAGGTGAAATCATAGTAATTGGTGCTACCAACCGACTTGATTCAATAGATCCAGCACTCAGGAGACCTGGTCGCTTTGACAGGGAATTTCTTTTCAGTTTACCTGATCAGAAGGTAACTTCATTGGTGCAGTATTATCTGATTTGCTTGTTGTTGATATTGTGCGCTTGCTATGTACAGAACAAAAAAAGAACCTTTTAATGGCATTCTAAGCATACATTGCAGATGGAGTGCTTTAGCTCTCTAATCATTTCAGCTATTTTAAAAACACCGTAGCTCCCTTAATAGAACAATTATGTTATTGTAGCACTTCTCTCCTCAGACTCAAATAACTGTAAAAAAACATGTTCTTTCTGGTTTGAGGGACACGAAGGCATAAAACCTTCAGGTTATTCCGCCGCCTATAGGAAAATTCATCGCTGATGAACAAAAACCGTAGGCCAACACAGGATAATCCTTCCTACTACCAGCGTGCATTTTTGCTAGTGTCCTGGGAGGATTGATGCTTTTTCTTTAGCTCTGATGTGTTAAGACTAACCCATTTTTCCTAGCTCTTTTTTTCATTGTTTTTTTCTTTCTTTAGTCAAGACTTGTATTTTCTATTTGCTGCTAGAACCTCTCGGAGATCCAGCGTGGTCAACCCCAGCATGGCCTTTAGAGCATTGGGTCTAGACCCTGCTGGACTGGATGTTGCGGAGATAGCCTGATAGTGACCTCTGGAAACTGAGTTCCATGTGGGGTGCTTTCTAAACTCTGTACTGGTAGTGATCCCTGGAAACTTTTTTACATGTGGGGTGCTTTCTAGACTCTGTACTGGTAGTGACCCCTGGAAACTGGTTTACATGTGGGGTGCTTTCTATACTCTGTACTGGTAGTGATCCCTGGAAACTGGTTTACATGTGGGGTGCTTTCTATACTCTGTACTGGTAGTGACCCCTGGAAACTGGGTTCCACGTGGCGTGCTGTCTAGACTCTGTTCTGGTAAAAGTTAGCTATGGAGTGCAGTCCAGGTCCAGAGCCCTTGGCATTGCCTCAACTCTTGTCCTGTCTTTATAGACTCACTTTGGAGTAGGGCGGTCGGGCCAAACCTGGAGCTGCCTCTTTTATATAGGTTGCTGGGTGACTTTATTTCTTGTTCCAGTTGGTTTCTAGCACAGAAGGGGTTACACATTGTGCTATTTGGTGCTGATGTCACCTGCTGTGTGGAGTGTCACATGCACCCCATGCTCCCTTGATCGCCATACAGGATTTAGGAAGCATCTCCCAGTCTCAGCTCCTGCTTGCAAGAGCCACATGGAACTTCAATCTTAAATCTGTTCCTGTTGCCCACAGACAGTTACTTTGGTCACCTATGGCCATCTGACCCTCATATTCTACCAGATGTACCTAAGGTCCTGCCTGGTATGCTGATATGCCTATACTTAGTCTTTTCCCTATGCATTCACAGCATGTCTGACTCTAGGGGAGTGGGGAATGGGTATGCCGTTTGGGTGCCACTAGCTCACAGTCTAACTGCTCTGGGGCTGCTTGGAGAGGGTATGACTGTGCCATTGTCTGCAGCCTGTAGTCCTGTTCTGTTAATACTACAGAGATCCTTACTACAGCCATGCAAAGCTTCATGGCCCAAATGACTTAGTTTTTTGCAGACTGTGATCTCGCATGCTCCTGTGCCTTCTCCTGCACATTCTTTATCGAACGTGTCCACCACCATAGCAATTTCCGAGCCATTGGCCACAGAGTCTGATTCTGAGTTGCCCCCAGTCCCTGACTAATGAGATTACCCCTGAGGAGTTGTAGTTTGCAATTAAGCCCAAATTAAAGAACTCCACGCCTGAATAATCTTACCCCTTGCAATGCAGGGGGTAGCCCCACTGCAAGGGTTAAAGCTGACCTTTACGCTAAAAATGACCAGTTTGGCAAAGCAATGCACACTGGGATTGCCTTGTCAGCAGCCGATCATTGCTGGGAAATCTCATCTGTACTCTCATAAGATCTCGCGGAAAGGCCTTTTCCTCCGCTGAGATGATGTGCATGGTCACATGTCCTAGTCACATGTGCCAGAAATGCAGGAAGTACTAGGAGATCTAGTAATCTGCCCTTAGTAAACATGGCCACTGAGAAGACTGGGAAAGAAAAGAGAAATAAGGAATGCAAAGAATACAAAGCCGGCAATTATCTAGAAGTATGTGCTTGTAGATTGTTATTACTGAACATTTCGAATGGTGTTTTTGTTATTTTAAAGATATGGGGAAAGGTCCACTTGAGGTGCTTGTATTCATCTTGATGACTATAACAGATATACCTGAACCTCGGAGCTGGCTAGTCCCTGCAGCCTTGCTTCCCCTCTGCTCCGGCGGTCTAAAGGCCTGGGGGGGTCATCACATTCTATACAGTGCATTGGACATGAGGAAGCCGAGGGACATTTCATCGCTGGGGCCTGGCTGGAGGGAGCAGATCAGCGCAGCTTAGGAGACGGGGTGTGAGCAAGCACTTAAAGACCACCATTTAATGTAGTAATACACCTAATGTTGTAAAGATTTTGGGTAGAAGAATTAGATGTGTTTTTTCAGTGATGGTTTGTGTAAGTTGTAGCACAGCCTTCCCGTGTAAAATTTTCACTCAAACAAGTCAGAACCTACTTTTTTTTTCTTAATGCTTTGACACTTGTGACCATTCTAATGTGTCTCTTTTTTCCATATATTCAAACAGAGTTCTTTTATTTCTTTTCTAGGCAAGAAAGCACATTTTACAAATACATACCAGGGACTGGAATCCCAAATTGTCTGACGGGTTCCTCGAGGAACTAGCAGAAAAATGTGTTGGTGAGTTTGAGTATTAAATGTCATTTTACTATGTTGCCTGGTAAAGGAGATTTAGGTTGATAGAAGACTTGTGCCTTAACTTTTCAGGACCCATCACCTCTGAAGCAGGAGGTGGTAATACAGTAGCTGACATGACTTTGGGGAGGGGGGAGCTTGGGAATGGGAGGCACATATGTCAAGTACTGCATTCCGGGAGAGAATTGGGGTGTCTAGCAATTTTGGCAGAGTTGAGATGATTAGGTGTCTGGGACTCGGTGTAAAGAGTTTGCAGCTTCATGGAATAGCTCAGAACTCCGGCAGGATTCCAAAGCCTGAGGTTAGTAGTGGCCATAATCTATATACCTCCCGCTAAGCTGCTACTTTACACCGATATTCGGCTTTAATTACAGCTTTGTATTCTGTGTCAGGGAGGTATAAATGGGTCACTGTGAATGCTACCCCCTCCTCCCAACCCAGTGAGTAGTGGCAGTTGTAGCGGGGACATTCCCCAACCCATTGTGATGTATAACTGTTGGCAGTGGAATGCTCCTGCCGCCACTGATTGGGCTTGAAAGGGGGGGATTCAGTTTTGTGCAGGCTACGGCAAATTGGTGGTTTGCACCAAGCCCAGGCTCATTACTAAACCGCAATATCCAATATGCTTTGGTAGCCAGAGCATGGTCTAAAGTCCCTTGGTTGTTTTCTTTGTTTTGTTTTCCATCATTGCCCAAACTTACATTTTACTTCTTTTTTTGGGGGGCTTATTTATTGAATAGAAGATTTTAGTGTACTGAAAGCCCGATCCAAAGTCTATAACAGTTTTAGAAGTGCAGCTAATGGGAAAAGCAGGCATCAAAATCTGTTCTCGTTCGGTGTGTTTTTCTAGGATGTGTGTGGTCTTGTGAAACTCTTTAGCAGAGTTGCCAGGATCTTTCTGTAGGGCGCTCTGACTTTTTGGGCTCAAAAACTGTTTTTGACTAAGTGGGAAGAACTCAGATCAAATTTCTAAAATCTAACACTGGTGGTCAGATGTATATCACCCATCACATGTTCATGTGCAAGGGCACCTGTGCTATACCCAGGCAGCACAAAGCAACAGGTTCACTTAAAATAGAATTAAACCTTTTTTTTTGGCATCTACTACTTGCAAGTGGTTTGGCTGGTGCAGACCTTGCTAATCCCTCCTTTTCGGCTGGCACTCAGTGCAGGCTGTCGGAGCGCCAGCCGAAAAATTTACCGAGTGTCGGCCCCGCCAGGAGCAGCTTTGTAGCCTGCATCCAACAGAGATGCAGACTGTGTAGCTCCACCCCAAGTCAGGTACACGGTCCATGACTGCGTGCCTGACTTCTCATCCGGCTGCAGGCTGCATGGTACCGGTTTGCTGGTCAGTGCTTTGAGACCCCTGTCAGAGATTCTCAGGTGCTGCACTGTGCCTGCATAGCAGGTGAGAGACATTCTGGAAAAGCCACAAGACACACAGGGGTCTGTTTATTACATAAATTGCATAGTTTTTAGTCCAGTAAAACTGTACGCTTATTTGTTCTATGCGAAGTAACCAGCTATTTTTCAGTCAGAGTGGTTGAATTTTGGAACTCTCTGCCACAAGCAGTGGTATCAGCAAATCAATTAGATTCCACCATAAGAGACCGTAACATACAGGGGTATAGGTACACTTAAATACTAGACCACACATGGACTCTATACACCTATGCACGCACAAGAGACATGCACACACAAAGGTTGATGGACCTGTGTTTTTTTCAGCCTCAAATACTATGTAACTGTAACCATAGGGATCCCTGTAGTGGCAATAGTTACATTTTTGTTTTGCTCATTGCATTGTGCAGGCATAATTTAATGCCCCTTTCACATGGGCGCATTCAGTTCCAATCTGCAGGGGATCTGTACACGGAGCCGCTACTGATCGGAACAGTTTGGAATAGATGTAGACGTTGAGACACCTGTGTCTGTCCAGTTTTTGTCTCTGGTCTTGCGATGGAGGAAAAAACTGAAATTACTGGGCCCATTTTGGTCTATTGGTAGTTGGATGTGAATGGAAATGTGTCAGTGTACACCAGATTACCCCTGATCCACCACGAAGAGATCCGCCAAAACAGAACCCTGTTCCGTTTGGTTTTTCGGACCTGGATGGAGTGTTGGCTAACAGGATGCTAACGGACGCACGTCCATTTAGATCAGAGGTGCCCATAGATTAACATGGGGCTTCCATTAGGATCCGCCAGAAAAACTGACAGGTGGGCCTGATAGGATTGCCTATATGAAAGGGCTGTAACTTAAAAATACTCTGCTTTAAAATACATGTAATGTTTGTGTATGAATACCTGGGCTAAAGTTTTCTATTTTGCTGGAATGTGTTAATGCATCTTAAAGCCTTCATTCCCAATGTAATGTTCTAACTCTCCCCTTCTCTCTTTGTTGAGCCAGGCTACTGTGGAGCTGACATTAAAGCACTTTGCACTGAGGCTGCCTTGATTGCCCTTCGACGGCGCTACCCTCAGATCTATGCCAGCAGTCAAAAGCTGCAGCTGGACATCTCTTCAGTTGTTCTTGGTGCCCAGGACTTTTTCCATGCAATGAAAAACATTGTGCCTGCTTCTCAACGTGCTGTGATGTCTCCAGGTCAGGCCTTGTCCCCGGTTATCAGGCCGCTATTGCAGAGGACGTTCTGTGATGTGCTCCGTGTCTTACACAATGTGTTTCCTCACTCTGAGTTCAGCAGAGACCACAGGAAGGATGGTAAATGGCATTAATGTTGTCTTCTGCTTTGATGTTATTATTATTTTTATTATTATACAGGATTTATATGGCGCCAACAGTTTGCACAGCGCTTTACAATATAGGGAAGACATTAAAATCACAATACAATTCCAGACAAGATGGTAAGGAGGGCCCTGCCCCTGACGGCTTACAATCTAAGTGTGAGGGACAAGTGATACATGAGGAGGTTGCTGTGTGGGTGGAGAACGTGATGGTTGAGTGGTTAGGTTGAGGTGGGATAGGCTTCCCTGAAGAGATGAGTCTTTAGGGATCGCCTAAAGGCAGTCAGAAGGGAGATAGACGGACAGGTTGGGGTAAAGGGTTCCAGAGGATGGGATAGACTCTAGAGAAGTCCTGGAGGCGAGTATGGGAGGAGTGGACAAGGGAGCTGGAAAGAAGGAGGTCGTTGGAAGAGCGGAGGGGACGGTTAGGGTGATAATTTGAGACAAGATTTGAGATATAGCCGGGGGCGGAGTTGTGGATGGCTTTGTAAGTTTTTGTTAATATTTTGAATTTTATCTTTTGGAAGCCCGTGCTGGGATTGGCAGAGGGGGTAGTGATGGAATCCAGTGCTGGGATTGGCAGAGGGGTGTAGGGATGGAATCCAGTGCAGGGATTGGCAGAGGGGGGTGGAGGATGGAAGCCAGTACAGGGATTGGCAGAGGGGGGTTGCAGACACTGAGTGGCTGGTTAGGTGGATGAGTCTAGCAGCAGCATTCATGATAGACTGAAGGGGGGATAGCCTGTGTAAGCTTCAGAACTTTCTGTTATGGTATTGCATAGATGCAAGTTTGCAAATATAACTCCCCTCTGAAAGCTCAGCGTCTTGAACAATTCACATGTCTAGTCTCTTGGCCGAAAAAAAGACGCCAATAAACACAGAAGTGTTTATATTAAACATTCCTGACATCTCTAGATGCACGTTTCACATTCCAATCTGTAGCATTAAACCCTGACCTCGTGTCAGTTTGGAGGCTTCCTGGATTTCTTTCCCTATGGGGCTGAGTGCTATTCACTGCTCTTAGTTTCAGAGACCAATTCCTTGCCTTCCATCCGAGGGTTCTGTCATGTCCTAAGCCCTGATATGAACATGATGTTCCAAAAATTGTATCTGATAATTACAGTATCAAACAGAGGGACAGTAAATAAACCACCAGCCTGCATGTGGCCACTATGTGATAGCTAACCTAGTGATCACAAGATTGTAAACCGCTGTGATTGGTTCCTGATCATTACTGGAGACTTTAGCTGTTAGTGACAGTCCATTCTAACATCCATGCGGACTGTTGTTTGCTAGCTTTCAAAGGGGGTGGGTAATGCCTCCCCTGCATTAAACGGGGGGTTTTTGTTTATTATTATTATACAGGATTTATATGGCGCCAATAGTTGCGCAGCGCTTTACAATATAAGGAAGACATTACAGTCGCAATACAATTCAAGACAAGATGGTAAGGAGGGCCCTGCCCCTGAGAGCTTACAATCTAAAAGTTAATCTGCAGAATGTTGGTGGGAAATTGCTACAGCAACTCTGTCATGGCATAAAAGTGCAGGCATCCAGAGGTTCCCGCAGTAGCCATAAAAGCCCCACTGCTGTGCTTGTAATACCCTAGAGGCAGTGTTGTAGCTTTGCCTGTCAAAACATTTTGGGGTTTAAGGATGGGGACTTGGAGGCTTCTACAGGTATATAGAAGCCTTCAACTTTAGTATTTTACCAGTATTTTTACTGAAGAAGGCAAAATATAAAAATGTGTTTAAAGAAGAACTCCTCATACGATGAGCTGAGTTTACTAAAGGTTATTTGTGTTTTAAATTCAAGACGTTTTAAGCAAATTTTGCCTTTGTATCCTCCTATTATGGCCTAGAAAGTAGGACTCAGAGCACACACGTGGACAGTAGAAGAGAGCAAGCATCACTCAATTTGCTTCTGTGCCTTCCTTGTCCAGTCAGCAGTTTGGGGAGGTTTCTTGGATGAAGCTATGCTGCCGCTGGAGTTGAGGTTAAGAACCTAGCTGTCTGGCAGAGGTGGGGTCTCGGTTATAAGATTGGCTGAACACAATTACAAGCACATTGGCAGAACACTTTGCATATGTGTATACCACCCATAGGATTAATTTCCTGCTTGGAGTTCTACTTTAATGTGTTTTGTATTGGTGAGGGTGACTGAGCTTTATTGCTTTTTCTTCCCAGATGATGTGAGATTTCTTTTGGATGATAGTGAAGATGAGAATCCAGTGTCAATATTTGATGTGAGTTGTGTCTCAGGATCACCAAAGAAGCAACCAGCTGCTCCCCACAAGCCCTTTCTCCATTTTACAACGTAAGTGGAAGGTTGAGAGACCCATGACCACTCTGTCCCCAGCATCTAACATACTCATGTACTGTATATCCAGCACCCCACTCTTGAGCCTCTCTGCTAACGAAGATCTTTTTGTACAGAATATACAGTGGGCAGAAGGAAGTATGTGGCTTTAGTGTGGTGAACAAGATACGGTTCTGTGAATAGACCAGGTGTTTGGATTTTTGTTATAGGGCCAGTCTGCCTACTTCTCGCCTCCCAGTTATTACCAAATGCAAGGCACAAGCGTGATAACATATCTGTCTCTGGCTGGTGACCTAGACATGGCCGCTACAAGCTCAAGGGGCATTGAAGAGACACTCAGCCAAAAGGGTTCTGTGGTACAAGCTGGCAGCTAATGCCATTGCAGCTAGGGGAGGCACTCTGAGCATTAGTATGTTTTGCATTGTGTTTTTGCAGCGCCAGTCACCTGAATGGGCCTGGAGAGCGCTTTCTAGTTGCTATAGAAAAAGGTACTTAGGATTTGTATACTAAAACATTTATAAAATTAGGTCATGAAATCATAAGTACCCACTGCGTTTTTATTAGCTTTTCTTCAGTGTGTTGGTGGGTGGGCAGTGTGGACTCGGGCAGCTTGGCACAGCCTAGATAATTCCTGTATCCTTGTATTTGCTTAGTTACTTTTCTTTGAGAAAGATGGTTGGGTTAGGAGGAGTGAATTGTAATCTGAGATTGCTAATTAGAGTAACAGGCAGATCTTGTGTATATGGCGCTCTTTATACCTTACCGCTGTTTAATTTGCTTAAAGTGACCTTGTCCTAAAATGCTACCTGCAATAAAATCCTCTGAATACCTACTTCCCCGGAAGGGGGCTAGATTAATTTTTGGTCATACAGCCTCCAGCAGAATATTCACATTTGATACACTTTCATGTGTTTCAGATGCCTGGTCATCTGCTGTGCTCAATGATCCCTGGGCTGGCACTTTGAACCTTAGCCAATGGTGGGGTAGGGGGCAGTCATCTAACAATCCTGTCATTGTCATGCTAAAGACCCTACGTGCCTAAAGACAGCAGAGTGCCCACTAGAGAGTTAAAGTAGAATAAAACTTTTTTTTTTGCATCTACTGCTAGCAAGCTAGTAGATACTTTATATGCAAAAACATTAAAAAAAAGTTACCACATAGGTTATCACTTACCTCGGTCTCCGCCGCTCGCGTCCGAAGATCTGAAGATTCTCGAGCGGCTGTGAAGAATGATGGGGCGGGCGCATGCGCAGTAGAGATCTTCGGGGGGGGGGGGGGGGGGAGAGAAGAGGAGAGACACTGGTAAGTCAATGGAGGCAGCCTGGCAGCGTGCACCCGCACAGATACCATGGGACACAGAAGACACCGCAGTCAGCACTGGATCAGAGACCGGCACCAGCACTGGAGGAACTCCTGAAAACTACTGGAAAGAAGATAATGATCAGATCAAGAGGCATCATTTAAGGTAAGTCCTTAAAGGAGAACTATGAGGCGAGTGAAAATCACTCGGCCTCATGGTTCTAGCCGACCTGTGACAATGAAACTATCACAGGTCGGCTCAATATATCGGGAAGTGAGCGAACACATAGCGTTGCTCACTTCTCGATCCTGTCCCTGCAGAGAGCCGGGACTGTCGCTCACAGCTCCCTGCAGGGATCCCCCCCTCCCGTGTCCGATCCTCCAGCGTTGACTTGCGGAACGGACAGGGGAGGGGGCGGGTACAACTGGCTCTACCTCTAGATAGGCAGAGCCAGCTGTCACTAACGCAGCTGGGTGGATCCAGACAGTAATGTCGGGATCCGTCCCGGCTGCGGCGTCTCAGTATACCGCGAGCTATAGTGACGGGAAGACGCTTGTTTGTGTCCTCCCATGACCCTTAGGAGAACTATGGAGAAAAGCCCTAACCCCATAATTCTTCTTTTAAAGCAGCATTGGTGGGGGGAGGGGGGCAGGGAATGTGTCTTTAATGTCACTTTAGGTGTTTGGAACCTTCTCTTGCAGGGAGTGTTTTG